TGACTGCTTTATTGGGGAATTGGGGACACGCACACACACACACACACAGAAGCACACACACACACTCCCTCACGGATGAGTTATTAAGCCATGTTTGCGCTTGTCTCTGGCTGCCACACATTTTCATTGGAGAAATATTTGCAGTCGCCTGCTGCCTTTCAAAATCTGGCTCTTCAGGCGTGATTTAGAAACTTTTCAAATATGCTGCCATTGGCACTGCTTGGCCCAGGAGCTCGAGGAGTGGCTGCACTGCGAGGAATATTGCGCAGCTATCGTTACACTGAAGGCAATTAAGACAACTTACAAAGCTACGTACATATCCGAAATGAAACATAATAAATACCCACTGTAAACTGATTTTTGGGTCTGCTACAGCTGTACATAAATGTGAGTCGCGTAAGTATTTGAATATGCCACGGAAACTCTGCTCCCAGTGGATGGCCAAGCCATCATCTAAGCGAAGAGCGACCTTCCCGCTTCCGCATGACATCACAGAGTCTGTGATCTCTGGCTGGGCAGCAATTTGATTGAAAAAGCCAGCGGAGCAGAAACACATCGCAGGCGTAACAGGTTCGCATTCGGATTGGAGCACGGATTGGGCACCGAATGGGGCACGGATTGGGGCATGCAACGCCAAAAAACTTGAGCGGCAAAAGTTCCGGGAAGTCTGCCCTTTTCTCTTATATTTTCGGCGAATGTCGGACCCGGTGAGCTCAGTGACCCATTGACACGATATCTATGCACATATATAGTGGATTTGGGTGAGCTCAGCTCGGCGCTTACAGTCTCGCCCAGTCGACCGCAAATTAGTTTCGAGTGTCTGGACATTTTGCAGCCGCAGTTTGCGGAGCAGGCATAAATAGATTTATTGAAATTTATATGTGCGGCACGTATTTGCTTAGCCATCTGTTCGAGTGTTTGGTTTTTGGATTTAATGGCGGCAATTGCAGCTGCCCGAGGCCAGCACACTTCGCCATAATCCAATCGACTATACCACGCATTGGCCAGCGCCTCAAGGTTAGCCTGCCCCGAAATCCTGACCATGGTCAACAGCCCAGCTCCACTTGCTTGGAATTTTGTTTACGTCTTCGGCTGGACGCGACGAACAATAATTTATTTGGCTGCGAAGTCCTTGTGCCCTGCGTGTGTGTGTGTGTAGCTCCTCTTGCCCCGCCTTCCTGCTCCTGTCAGCGCCTGCGAGATAAGCTGACTGCGAGAAATATGTGCCCGCTCCCTAACGAATGTGCGAATAATGAGGAAATGGAAGGCGTTACGAATGCGGTGCTCCTGCAGGACCTCCGCTCCTCCGCTCCCCTCCCCTCCCCCTCCTCGCCACGAGAACACATAAATAAAACGCACAACATCGACTTTAATTGGTCACGCGGTCCATAAAGGAATGCGGATGGAAAGCAGACACAAGCCGGATAAAACTACCACTAGTTAGTATGACCCGCTTTAGAGATGGCAACTACGCACTGGCCATAAGATATCCATTGGATTTAAGCTATTGTCTTCAGATACCTCTGACCTTATCCCAAGAATAACATGGATTTTTATTAAGATTAAGCATAAAGCGTTCAGGAAAAAGTGGTTTACTCGTTGGTTACATCCCTCAAAACACAAATATAATATGATATAGTCGAGAAGAAACATTCTATTTCGATGTATTCCATATTTTAATGATTATTATAGATTCATACTGCACCCTGAATCTGTTGCACTTTTTTTGTATTTAAGCTAATAACTCATATGCGCAGATAGAGAAAATACATTATTGTTGACGGTAGAAACATTTTTCCCAGCGTTTCGTCCAGTTGGTTATCACCACCAATTATGGAAAATGACTGGTGAGCACGAGCACATCCCCAATGAAGTGGTGTGTCCTGCCTGTCCCCTTCCTTCTGGTAGTATCTGGCTGCCGGAGAGGAGGTTAATATGGGCAACTGATTTATGTATGGCAACAGCAGAAGCAGAAACGGAATTGGGTGGTGGAGGAGGAGGAGGAGGAGGAGGAGCGAGCTCCACGGACGTGGCCATCTTCAGTGGCCGGCGCCAGACGCACGCGGCACATCCTTCATCCTTCGCCGCCGAGTCCGCCGAGTCCGCCGAGTCCGCCGAGTCCGCCGAGTCCGTCGGTCCGCCGGATTGCGTGGCTCATCGTCATCGTTCGCATTATAAATGATTTTAATAATTTGAAGCGATTTGTTTAGTTCTGCATCAAGTCGGATAAACGTCGATGATTAATTAGCCGTGGAGGCGGCCAACTTGGAGCAACTATTTCAGTTTAGGAGGGGGATGGAGATGGAGATGGGCATTACATAAGCGTTTGCTACCACTTTTATCGCTACCGTATTTAAATGCCCCCAGTTCTTCCCCGCCCCCGGCGTCCTTAATCAACTTTTTGGTTTTTTCCCCGCCTCTATGTTTGTTGATTCCCAAAGCGAAAATTAATTGGCGCCCCGACGTAGACGATTCCCGCTCCCGGTTAATTGATAAATGGTTGTTTGCTGGGAACGGAGCGACTTCCATTGCCTGCTGCCGACACATGCAAATTTCTCAAATGCTGTACCATCTTTTCCGTTGTTTGAGCGCATAGAAAAACGTCGAACGGCATCTCTATAAGGCTCCTTTGTGTGCCTCAAGCTTACCAACTTGATATCGATTGGAGTAATTACATTTTCAAAAATTAATTATTCACACAATACAGCATTTTGAGACTGCGATTTGTGCAAAACCAATTTACGCTCATGCATACGCAAATATTTGCATTGAAATGCGAACACTACCGAATTGCAATTATTGTTATTGCCGGGCGACTTGCAAATGCAACTGCAGTTGCCATCCGACCGCACGGCATTCACACACTCTGCATCCGTCGGATGCCGAGTCCAAGTCCCAAATCGAGCCGAGTCCAAGTTAGTGGCTTCGCTGCGGTCGCCTCGACCCCTGAACTCTGACCCCCAAGCCCATTCATCTCGGATGGCACGCTGACAAGTGGGCATTAATTCTAAAAATGTTTGGGCATTAATTAAGGCCGCTCCCTCGGCTGCAGGTGGAGGTCTCCAGTTTCTGTGGGAGATGCCTGTGCATTGGACACAGGACGCTGGACACTGGACACTGCTCCTGGCCCGAAAGCAATTTGTTAACACTTGCATTACTGACACATTTAATCCATAATTGTCAGCATTATTTGCCTGGATTAATTTAAAGCCATAAATTGAAATATAAAGGGCAGCAAACGCACCACCATCCGCTTCTGTCAGTGGAAATAATAAATATTTTTAAATACAATTTCACTCTTATTCCGGACAAAAAATGGGATATAATAATTGCCGCCACATTTCGCGTTTCTTTTTTAGGTTTGTATTTCATCATGGCGGCAAAGTCAAATACTTAATGTTTAATAATTTCCATAATTTGCATATTTATCTGATGGATGATGGTCAATGTAAAAGCTGCCTGCTAAGAGTTAATTCGGCATTTATTTCTTTTGCATATTTCCATGTCGCTCCATACATTGACGAGAAAATCAATTAATTTGGGTGATGCGCTAAATCTGCCGCATAATGTGTAGCAAATAAATTAGGTATCTCGATGCCGCTGATATGGAGCCAATTAAAATGTAAAATAAAATATTTGTGCGCCTCATTAAGTGACACTAACTGCTCGCCTCAAAACCATTTAATTAATCGCAAATTTCGATGGCTTTAATTAGGTGCCGAGTGCTGCAAAAACCTGCTAATTGAAATCCACTGGACGGGCAGCCATCGAATACGTGAGTATTCCCTCTGCCAAAAACGTTTAATTAATCAGCTTAGCGAGCTCCAGTTTTCCCGACAGTTTTTTCCTCCATCGGCAAGTGCAGCGTGTAATCTACTGGAGTGTGATCCCCGTATCACTTTTCTTGCACCATTTGCTGCCCCACTTCGCTCTGTCAACCTGCTACGCACTGCAATTACTTAGCAAAATTAAAAACCCTACAATTTTCCCCATTTAACGTTTAACGAACGCTCGCGTGAGTGGGCGGGAAATTAATTATGGCAAAACTGCACCCACGGATGACAGATGATGATTGTCTTCCAGGGACAATAAACATCCACTCGCATTGTGTCCACTTTGTGTCAGCAGTATGCACATATCCTTATGGGCGACAGGTGGGAGGTGCTGATTAAATGGCTGCCTCGGGGTTGATAACAGCCAGCAGGACTCTCGATACCATCCGCTAAGCGGAAACGGAAGCGAGTTTTTCAAATTAATCTTGTTTACGCCAAGGAAATATTCTCAGCAATTTTTTCATTACCGACTGCAGCTTATTTTGTGCATAGTTTCGGGTGGGGGCTCGCCGGCGGATTTCCATATAAAAACAACGCCCTTTGGCGGGGCAATAAATTTATTACTGAACTTTAAAATACCAGCCGCAGCCACTTGCCCTTAACACTTCTCCGCGGCGAAAAGTCGAACGGCAGCCTGCATTCTCGCAATTATCCTTGAAAATGCAGCATCCAGACGCAGGGCGGGTCAGGCCGAAGGAGTGAGTGCAACTGCAGCCAGAAAGTTGCAGGAGCGTGCCGGCGGAAATGTGTTTTTGCTGGGTGTTGAGTGACTGCGAATAATTTATTAGCTGCGTGAAAAATAATTTATGTTGAGTTTTCCCCTCTGCTTTATATATTTTTTGTTGCCACAGCGTGCAGTCGGTGGGCGTGAGATGTGGGCGGTGGTTGGGGTTTAGTTTCGGACGGGCAATCGGTCAACAGATGCAGTTCTTCTAAATTAAACAATCTGCCGCGCAGTTTTGGCGGCACTGTGCGCAGTTGCGGGGGGACTGCTTGGGGTTACTAACTCCACTAAGCGCAGTTTTGAGTGTACTGAAAAAGATTCTTTTTTGTAAAATAAATGTAAAAATGATGTAGACAGTGCTTTTGGGTAAGCCTATTTTTAAAAAGTAATATTTAACTTAATCAAGCCATATTTGCCATTAGTTAAGCAGAACCCGTTACGGATAAGTTAAAGTCTGATATTTTATTAATATAATTATTACTGGAGTACGAATACATTTCACATTTAAAATATGACGAGAATTGCAACAAAGGTTAAAGAATCCTACGCAACTAAGTGAGGGCATCGCCTCTCGTCGGGATGCCATCCTCCTACTCCTTCTCCTTCTCCGTCAGTTGAATTGATTAGAATTACGTTTCGAGTTCGCATTAATGATTACAACTAGCAACTAGGTGCGCTTGGGCTCCGGACCTCCACAGTGGAGCACCGGGTGGAGGCTTCGAGGGTCGTCCACTCGCTTCATTTCGTCCTGGCGCTGCGCAAATTCGACGCGGAGAGCACCGACCGCGGGGGTGGCGGGCGCCCAAGACTGTCCATGTGGTACCGTCGCGTCGGCGTGGAGGATTCGTTCTTGCGGCCAATCCGGCTCAAGGTGCTGGCGCTGGTGGCCCCATTGTGTGGTGGTGGCTTCCGCGGCAGTGTGGACATCTAAACACATATCAATCGTTATCAAACACTCCAACAATCCATAAAATTATTATTAAAGGTCTATAAGGTAAAGCAACTCTAAATTGAAATGATCTGTTTACTTAAAACTAAACCAACTATGCTATGTGTGAAACTTACCCGCTTGTTTTGCTCCTGCGAGTAGTTGATCTCGTAACCCTCGCTGATGTGCTTGGGCTTCCAGGGGGCCAGCATGGATACGGACCTGGAGACGGTGCGGGTCATGGGCTGGAGGGGCGGCGGCTGCTGGGGCGCCTGCGGCTTGACCTTGCGAAGGTCGTCGCGCGACATGGACCGCCGGCGCAGGTTGTATGGCTGTGGGATGTCGCCCACTGTGGTGGCGTGCAGATAGACAACGCTGCGTTGGCTATGCAAGCTGGACTCGCCCTCAGTGCCGGAACTCTCCGCCGGATAGCGATCTCTGCACGGAGATGGGCTTATTACTTAAGGTTACATTTATTAGTGGTTTCGATCCAACCCACCTGCCGTAGCCAACGTTCTCCTGGCCCAGGCTGTTGAGCAGTCCGCGGCGCTCGGCACTCCTTGCCGGCTTTGGTGGTCCCAGCAGCGGGCGATCCTCGATGCGCTGGCCCCGCGGTGCATCCAACGTTCTCTCCAGAGACATGGCCCGCTGCCCGGCCGTGCTGCTCCTCTTATGTCGCTCCGCCGGCTCTGGCTCCGAGCCGCTCTCCGAGATGTCGTGCAACTCGCGGGACCGCGAGTAGTGGCGCCTCTTCCGGAAGTCCACCTCGTCGCTTCCGTTGTCCAGGTGCTGCATGGAGCTAGCCCGCTGACGACTGCTACCATTTCTATTATGGCCCTCAGGCTGACCGGCGAGCGAGTGGCGGTAGTCCCGTGCTGGTGGAGGAGGACTGCGGTCCAGGTGGTAGGCACTCTGCGAGTGCTTCGACTGACCCAGCGGAGGACGGCTCCTGGCGATGAAAATGTATGAGGATCCTAGCCTCCATATTGAACTAATTATGCTTTTACCTGGGCATGCTGGCGGCCTTGGAAATGGTTGGCGGATTCGAGTCCAGGTCAGTGTCGCCAAAGAAGCGCAGATTCTTGGCTGGAGCAGCTGTCGTGTTGCGTTTGGTCCGCTTCAAGCTCGAAGTGGTCTCACTGTGTCCGTTCACGGATACATTGAGCTGAAAGGAATGGGCCTGGTGCATTAAAGCGCGTATGTGGAAGAAAGTCGCTCCTACCTCCTTGGGACTGCTCTTGGCCCGGCGGTCCAGCGATCTGAACCAGCTCGTCTTCTCGACCTTCGCGGGTGCCGACTCCTTCGGCTTTGGATGTTTCTTCGGCGGCTTGTCCGCCGGACTGCGCTTCACCAGCAGAGGACTAGCTTTGGGCGTGGACAGTCGGCGCCGCATCGAGATATCGATAGTCTGGGGATTTGGGAAAATTAACCATAAGTATTCCCATGCATGCTTCGTAAAATAATCTAAAAAATCCTACTTTCGCTTATTATTATTTATAATAATTACTTTCCAAGTAATATACTTCAAATCCCTGCAGAATTTTATTCGGTTCAACCCCCAGATAGTCTTAACTTTATGGACTAATAAAGCTAACTTCGACACCAAGTAGGATTCACACAGATACCTCGAACTAACGACCGATGTGATTGATATTATTCCCTGCACAAGCTGAGCTCGATTCCGTGGGCGGTTTGCTTTCGCTTTCGGGTCAAAGGTCGGCCCTCCCACCGCCTCGCAACAGGTTGCGAATGTGGGGCAGGTGGCCTTTATGCGCGTAGCCACGTGGGGGAGTGGTGAAGTGGTAGGGTGGCACACAAACTTGTTTTGCCGTTTGTGAATGCGACAGCAAGTCGGCTCGATTCGGCCGGCCCAATGAAACTTTGGCCCACTTGCGGTCGAAACCGTAATAGGTATTGGGTTTTAGGGGGCAGGTGGCGGTGGGCGGTGGGTGATGATTGGTTAAGGCCGCCCTCCCCACTGGTGCAATATGGGGTTTCAAATTGAATGGGGACGGCAGGTGCCCAGCCTGCGATCTAAACTTTACTGGGGCACTCAACAATAAGCCTGACTGAGACTACGCACCCACAAAATAATTAGGTATTCAAATGTGCCCAGAACGCGACTGCGACTCCCAATAAGTTTACGACCAAGTTGGGGCCCATAAATAAGCCAACAGCATTATTGACACAAGTCTCTCGCGTGTGTTTTTGGGCATGTTGGATATCTGGAATGAATGGCAAGCACTTAAAGATTTCTGCGGAACACACATCGGGCGGCATGTTTTATTGGCTGCCCCATGAATAATGGCAGCACATTGTCCCGCTAAAGATGCTGGTTCCCGCTGGCCAGGCCTTATAAATACCTCTATCACGCAAGCATAATTTTTGACAACGGTTTGAGGCACTGGCCACACCTTGGCGTGAATCTCCTGCAGGATGGGCATTCCATTCCGCTAAAAACTCGCTGATTATAAGCGTTTTGGGCCGCCCACTTTGCACATCCGGCCGATTAAAGAGTGGCAACATCCTCTGGCCCTCTTAGACTTGGCCAAGAAGTGCGCTGAAGCATTGCAAATTGGCTTGCAGCAAGCCGTACGCAGCAGCGGCAGCCACTGTTGCAGTTGCAAGTTGCGCAATATGCACAGCAACACCTCGGCGGCAACAGTAGCTCCAACCGTTTTGCATCGGAATCCGAATCCGATTCCGAATCCGAATCCGAATCCGCGTCTGAATCTAAGCCCAGTTTATTCAATTTCCCCCGCCTCGATGTTTGTCGTTTCGCTGTCAGCTTTCTTAATTTGCGAGCGCACTGACAAACGGACTGACAGAGTGACAAACTGACTGGCTGCCTGAATGGCAGAATGACAGAATGACAGCAGCTGCGTGGGTCTTCCACTTCTAAATCTTGCACACAGATATTTCTATTTTCTATATACGAGCTCGACCCTCGACGCTTTTGTTCTTGCTCGAAATTTATACGACGCCTCGTCGCTGAATTGTTTAGTTTTTTGTCGTGTTAGCGCTTTTCGTTCCGTTTGCAACTCTATTTGGCCAGTTGTCGTTTATTACCTAAGCGTAGTCGCGAGTGTTTCTTTATGGCTTGGTCAGCTTAGTCGCCCAGAATGCCCCAGAAGAGATGTGGATGGCACCATTTTCAGCTGCCCTCCGACGCCCACCCGCCTGCCAGTGATTTCTGGCCGGACCAGGAAGTGGATCAGCTTGGAGCGGAGCAGAGCAATCGCCAAAACATGGGTTGCTACTCCCACAGCTACTCCCCCAAAACGCAAGACCCATCGACGCAAGTCTTGATTAATTCGAAATTAATAATAGCCGACCATGACCAAGTGAGCCGACGAGGGTCTGGATTCCGAGAGACTCTGTAATCTTGCCCAGCCGCCGGGTTAATGACCTCCTCCTGACGCCATCAATTGGCAATTAGGGCAAAGGGGCTCGCAGTTGCACAAAAAATTAGATGTGCTCATGTCATGGGTTCATTTGTACATCCTCCTCTGTTGCTAACCAAATTATTATACTAGACTTGGGTAAAACTATTTATGAATAGAACTAAGATATATATTATAAACAATTGGTACTGACATTGACATTTATGTTTTCAAGGAATGGACATTGTACCAAATAAATGATTTATTGACAAACAACACATACCTTTGGTTCGCGTGAGGTCTCCTGGGCGGATGTGTGATGCTCGCGGTAGCGTGACCGCATCTCCTCCTCTCTGACCATGTAGCGCTCCCTCTCCCGCTCCTTCTCCCGCTCCCGCTCCTTATCCTTGTCGCGGCGACTCAGAGTGCTGCTGTTGCCGTTGCTCATCTGCTCCTTCTTGCCACTGGACACGTTGCTACCGCTGCTGCGACCACTGCCCCCATTGCTGCCGCCTCCGCCAGATCCCGTGAACAGCTGCTTCACCTTTTCGAAGCCGCCCAGCTTCTTGCTCCGCTTCAGGGTGCTCGAGTCCTCTCTCACTTGGGGCTGGGACTGGCTCTGGGAGGTGGAATGCTGCTCTCTGCGACGCAGCGTGCTGGTGGCCACCGGGTACTTGTCCAGATGCGGGTCGAAGTGCGAGCCATCGTCGATGGACCGCTCCCTGTAAACGTAGCTGTGCTCGTGGCGCAGGCGCGACGGTACCGCCTGCCGCTGCAACTGGCGCTGTTGGGCGCTATCCCGGCGCTCCTTGCGCAGGAATGACTCGCAGGCCCTTATGTCATCAAGGACAGTGCGTTTGCGCCATCTAAACAAGCAGCATACGTTAAATAGAAGATGGTATAGGGTTATTTCTTATTTTACCAGTTACTCGAGAGTATCTTGTATTCCCTCTACTAGATCCTTTAATAAGTATGGCATAAAAAAGCTGAAATTTCTCGTTCGGACTTCCACTAGCTGATAGTCGAGAAACTCTACTCTTTTGTGTTCATACAGTTACTCGTAGATCCGTTGATAAGTATGGCATAAAAAAGCTGAAATTACTCGTTGGCACTTGCACTAGCTGAGTAACGGGTATCTGATAGTCGAGAAACACTACTCTTCTGTGTTCATATAAAGTTATTACAAATTGATACCTATATTGTTTTCTCACCAGTTACTCGTAGAGAGAGGGAATACTAGATCAGTTGATAGGTATGTAATCTGTATGTTTCCGACCCTATCTATTCTGTCGGTCTAGCTATGTCCGCCTGTCCGTCCGTCTGTCTTTCGGTCTGTCCGTCCGTATGAACGTCCAGCTCTCAGGAACTTCAAAAGCTAAAAGTTGAGATCTGCATGCAGATTACAGAGACAACCGCATGTTTTTCTATTTTTTCGTTTTATTATTAGTCTTGCCAGTTTCTATTGATTTATTTAAATTGTTTTTATTTCGTGCCCATTTTCTATCGAAATGGCGTAAGAAAGCTGAAATTTCTCGTTCGCACTTCCACTAGCTGAGTAACGGGTATCTGATAGTCGAGAAACTCTACTCTTCTGTTTTCACATAAAGTTATTACAAATTGATACCTATATAAGGCAAGATTATTCGCCTACCTTGTGGTCAAGTCCCCGTTGAAGGACTCCTTCCGGAAATCGTTCTCAATGCCAGAGTCGCCCTTGTCGAAGCTGCGCTGCTGCAGCTTATCCCGCTTCAGGCTGCTCTGCCAGTAGTCCTCCCGCTGCTCTCGCGGCTGGGGCTGCTGGGAGCGCAGTTCTGGCGAGGATCGGTACTGATCCGTCAATTGAGAGTCGAGGCTCTTCGGCTCCTGCTCCAGCCGATCTGCCGAGTTATAGTCTCGCTCCCGTTCGCCGATGCGCTCGCGATGCCGCGACTCCCGCACCTGTCCATCCCGCTGGGTCTCCCGCACATAGGTCTCCTTGACGCCTCCGTGTCCGTCGTCATAGTACTTGGTGTGGCGGTAGCGAGAGGTCTTCTCCATTCTGGGCAGCGTGGAGCCACTGTCCACTTGGGTACTCTCTCGTGGAAACTCGCTGGACAGCTCCTGGCGCAGAGGTCGGTGGAAGCGCTCTGGCTCCCGCTCGGGAGTGGGTCTGCCCACCTCCCGATTTCTGTCCGCTTGCCGCTCCAAGGTTGCTCCCTCCCCGAACCGCCGCGTTAGGATACGCGTCTCCAGCTGAGCCCGTCGATGGCCCAACTCGTCCAGGTAGGGCGAGGGACTGACACTCCTGATGACAGGCACAATGGGAGGTTCCGCCTTTCGGGGGAACTCCTCCTCATAGTACACCTTCCTGGGCTCGTAGCCCAAGCCCTCGTCTTCGTCGCTGAGATTGCGGGGACTCAGCTGCTGCCAGGGCGAAGGTGAGTGACTGGTCCTGCTGGCCAAAGGAGCGGCATGGGATGTGGGCGAGTAACTGGGGCGCACATCGCTGGCCCTCGGTGGCCTAGCGGGCGCGAACTCCCTTTGGGGAGTGCGCACATCTCTCTCCAGTGGCGACCGGCGCAACTGATCCTCGCCCAGATCCAGCTGGGCATATGTGATGCCCTCGTTGGGCCGAATGTAAGAGAAGGCCGGCTGGCTGATCACCGGCTGCGGGGAGAAGCGCTCCATGGACAAGCGCTTGACCAGGCCGTTTACGGTGCGGCCCTTGGTGAGCGGCAGACGCTCCGCCGGCTGCTGGGAGCTGTGCATATTCTCGCCAGACTTCGCCTGCAGGGTCTCGATCCTGTCGCGAATGCCCGCCGAAATGGAAGCACCTCCCGATGGGCCTGTTGGGCCTGTTGGGAGGATCGGACCGTCTAGCTCCGCTTGGGAGCGACTCCTGGCCAGTAACTCGTTCAGGCCGCGAACGCTTTCATTCTTTTCGCGCGGCGTGACAGCGTCTGATTTGCGGCGCTCTCGCTCCCGGAAGTAGTCCTTCTCGAAGAAGTCCTCCCGCTGGGCCTGCTCGATGATGGGGCTCAGCTGCTGCTTGGACTGGCTGGTGGCGCCTTGGTGGACCTTGTCTTCCGCTCTCCTGGCTAGCTTGCTGCTGCCCACATCACTCTTGCTGCGCACTAAACGCCGGGCGCCGCCGTCCTCGAAGCGCGGATCCCTGTCCAACTGGCTGACATTCGAGTCGCTCTTGCGACTGAAGAGCCCGAAGATGGAGGGCCGTTTGCTGGCCGCTTTTTTGGTGGAGGCGTCACTGGCGCTGCGGGCCACGGGCTTGCCCTTCCTGCGGCGCGTGGGCAGGGAGTTAAAGTCGCTGGGCTGGCTCTGGCGTTTCTGCTTGGCCCGGAAACTGGGGATGTGGTCGCCGTTCTCGGCCTTGCTGTGGTGCCTGCCCGCCTGGGCGATCACCAGGGCAGCCTCCTTGCGGATGTCCTCGGGATCGATGTCCTTGGGCAGCTGGTGGTAGTTCGGCTGGCTACTCGGCTGCGACTCGTACTCACTGGGATGCTTGCCTAAAAGAGATGGGAGCAGAGGAGGAGCGGCATTAACTTACAATTGCAGAGGCAGTTCCGCGAACTAGTTGGCATTCATGTAAAGACAAATTAGCACATTAGCCGGCCCCTGATGATGTAATATCTGGCAGCCAGCTGTGGCCAATTCACACTTGCCAACCCGCCAGCTGCTAGCTGCTAGCTGCTAAATAAGGCAGCCCGTCCCGTCCCGTTCCGATCCGTCCCGACCAGACCAATTCGGTTCAAGAGTTGCGAGACCGGCCGTCTGACAATGGATCTGGCCCACGTCTGTCGCTGGCTTCTCGATCCGAGATGCTTTCGGTGCGGATTGCTGGAAGTGGAGCCGAGATACTTGGATCTCGTGAAACGCCTGCTCTGTAATCGGACGCTGTAAGCGCTAATGGCCATTGAAGAGACGGGCCTGCTGCGGTCCCAGTTGATCTATCTCGCATAAAGATTCCTCCACTTCCTCACTTTTTCATAATCATTATTATTTAATACGCCGAAAACAACAGCAACAGCAAAGGGGCCACGAGAACAAAACAGAAATGCCAAAGAAAACGTGCCGAAACGAGCATCATCATCGTGGCCAGAACGAGATGTGCTAGCCAAGATGCGTGATCTCTCCAGTCAGGCAGTCGGTCCCCTTTTCCGGCCAGCGCTAGTCACCGTACACCTGAAGAAATGCGCTGCATGAAATACGTTTGCTAAATTAAGAATGATTTAAGCAATCACAATAACAAACAACTTTTTACTATTCCATTTCACGAAAAGTAACAATTTACACTACATCTTTTGCTTTACACACCTCAAAGTCAGCGCACGGTGTCGAGATCCCAGATCATCGGAGGCATCTCGGTGCTGCGCTGACCTTGCCCCGAGATCAACTGGACTTCTGTTGCCCCACCCGGCCACTAGCACCCTCCTCCGCCAACCGTTGTCCATTCACCTGCACAACCTGTCACATTCGCGGACCCACAGAGCCAGAACCGCTCCCACATTCGACGGATTCGTGCAGCAAAATGGCAAAGTGACACCGGTGCCTAATCGAAATTCAAACAACAATGAATAATGACAGCGCTGGGCGTGTCGTGTGCCAAATTGGCTTAGCAGAATGGGAATGGATTGGAAATGGGATTGAGGATTGCGGATTGAACTGGGAGAATTAAAAAGGGAGCATTCTCGCAGTTTCTGCGAGACTGTATTTCACTCCGCTCACACAACTAGCTTCATCTCCATCTCCGGCTGCACTCAGCTGTCATGCGATATGTGTCAAGGTGAAAAGTTGGCCCGCTGCACCATCATGATGGCTCACTAGTCTTGGCCAACTTACAAGGTTTCGTTTGCGAGCCGGCGGCGGTATTTTGTATCTTTCTCGTTGCTTTTTGGAGGCAACAGGAAAGCATAAATTCGCACTAAGCGACAGCATCAATGTCGGCTAACCGTAAACAGCTCCAAGCTCCAAGCTCCAAGTTCCAAGTTCCCAAGACCCTAAGACAATGATCTCGGGGCGAGTGCAGCCTTTGATTGATTACCAGGCGCTGAGAGCCATTCATTAATCTAATCATTGATCCACTTAATGTGGCCACGCCAGCTCCGGCGGGCTCTGTGATTTGCAAGACCATCCTAGGCAGTTCCATTAAATGCGATCTTGGCGCGGCTTGGAGGTGGGGGCCTCAAGGAGCTGCGAGTTTTAATAACCTTTTTCTGCTGGCGATAAAGCATCTGATCCACTTTTCCAACTGGTCTGCCTTTAAGCGCCTTTCGGTGGCCAGTTTTGATTTGGGTTTCTGCTTCAGTTCCGGTTTTTTCGGGTAGCTGCACATAATTTGGCTGTCGTGATGGCTTGGCGACTTTGCCTCAAACACACTGACCAACTTCGTGGCGACGCACCCCAGAAAGAAGTGGGGACTCGACTCATATACTTGTACGTGTAAGTATTGAAATCTCGACTCTTTTGCGGCAAGACTTTCACTTGCCACAAGTGCGACCAGGAGCAGCTCGCTGGTTACTATGGCTTAATGGTACCACGCAACAATTGTCTGGGGATGATAATGCTGATGTCCAAGCTGCGACCTCCAGTCCGCTTCATTAAGGCAACCACAACCACTAAGTTGAAGAGTCCACCTCTACACCCCGGTTCCCCGTCGATAGCAAAACGTTTTAGTTGGCAAAAATGCTTTATCCCCCGCTGGCCATGTCAGTGACAAGATAAGGTCGAGCCAACCTGGCTAAATGGGAGCTCACCCGCATTCCTGCCTCTTCTCGCTACTGGTCTAGGCCTACACCTAGAAAAAGGCAGTTAGCTGTTGGCAAATCAAGCTCGATAAAACGATTCCGTGGTTGAAGACGTTCTAAATGGAAATTTAGTATAACTGGAACCAAATCTTACCAACAGCTCAACAATTAGGATCAAGTTTGAACTTTTTTCTAGGTGTAGTTCTAGGACAGGCATGCTAAAGATCCGCCCAGGCTGCCATGGGGTATTTCAATTACCCGGGCGCACTTTCGATTTCGTTAAAGGGCCCACATCGCCGAGCTGACGCTGGTCCTTATCTGGGCCCGGGGACAGCTCGCATTTATTTTATGTATGAAAATAATTTAGTGCTCCCAAGCTAATCGGGCCGCGGAGTCGGTGCCCAGGACCTAATCACATCAAAAGCGGCGCCGCGTCCTTGGGGCAGCCCAAGTATGCAAATCAGCGTGTTGCTGGAAGTCTGCCAATGCAACTGGGGCTGCTGGCCAATTAAAGTTGCTCGCTGGCCAGTGCTGCACGGCTTTCAAAACAAATACGAATGGGAACTTTCGCTAAAGAATGAAGCCGATTCAAAAGACTGAGGCGAGAAACTTGTTTCTCCCCCTAAGCGGCTGTCAACAGCAACAGCTTTGTATTGTATAGCTTTAGCTGGAGCTGGAGCTGTAGCTGTAGCTACAGGGAGAGCGGATAAACAAATAACAAATCACCCAAAATAAAATAAGGAAAAAGAAAAACCGCGCCATTCGCCGAAGTCGAAAAGAGTTAAAGAGCTCTAAAAATAATCTGCGACTCATTTCAATACACATTTCGATAAACAAATGACGCAATCGTCTGCAATCCCAACCGATTTCTGTGGCGACAATTGAAGTTGGGCACACGGGGATTTGTAGGCAGATAGATGATCGACAACTCCATTTAGCCGAATTTACCGAGGTTCTCCACTGCTAATGCTCAATTGAAATTCGCCGGGGCTTGTCACATAGCACAAACACTTCAGTTCCAGAACGATAATGACAGGCGGCCAGAACCTGACTGAGCCCGATATCAAAAGCGACTGAAAGCAATCTCCGGCCAGCGGTTAGCCAGTCGACAACTGCGCCTGCCCACGCCAATGTCACTTGGCAAAAATAGTAATAACAGGAAAACAGCCAGAAAATAGTGCGAAATTTGTGGGCAGGCGAGCCAAAAACGAGGCTTATTAATTAAGTTTCTTGGGCAACGCAAAGGGGCGATTAAAACTCGGCGTATGCAAATGATGAATTAATAAAAAGCATAAATGGCATTTTAATAGCAGCCAGCCAGGCCCAGAGTAGAAGACCCAAAGATGGCACGAGAGCAAACAGAAAACCAGTTGGGGCTTTGACAAAGTCGCACTCGAAGCAAATCAAATGTGGAGCTCGCACGGCTGCGAGTGGGAAACGTAGCAAATTTCATTATAATGACTTGCTCTCTGCCTAATTAAATTAATTAATTAAAGGTGTACGAGCTCATTAGAGAGCAGGCATAATGGGAAAATGTCCGGCCCAGACATTACGCAATCGGGAAAGCGGCCCACGCCTTGAGCAGCTCAATGTGGACTCGTTCTCAAAACGCCTTTTCGATCGCGCATCTGAAATTATGTCATCATTACAAATACACAGACGAGTATAGGAACTAAGACAGATATCTAGAAGGACGTCGACTTGGGCCGATTTCGAAGCCCGAACAAAGGAGCCCGTTTTGGCGCGGCTCCCTTGCCTTTCGTCACCTGTCCGCCTTCGAAAAGCTGGCTCAGTGCATCCAGCAGGCCCAAGGCAGAACAGCTGCCGACCCGACTCGTCTTGGCCAAATTTGTCGCTCCGCAAGGTTGATCACGCTCGCAGTCGCCGCAGCAGTCGCGCTAGCGAGGCCCACCTGTACTCAAATTGGCTGAAATTAGACGGCTTTTAGTTGACTTTTTACAGTCAACAGCTTTGACTTTTGACTGCACTGTAATTTGGCAGATAATTCACATGTTAACATGCGGATGAAAACGCTGCCTTGTGCCCAGCGGGCGAATAATTTCCACCGTCTTTTCCCTTTATCGCGCTACTATGTTGCGTCAAAATTAAATCATCATTAAATCTGTGTTTTACACATAATTGCTTTAATTTGCATGCAAAGACAGCGAACGGAATTTATTTTCGACTCCGGGTTAAATAACTTTAAGCGCTTGTGACTGCGGAGATAATAGGGTATTTAGGGAATACTTGGCTAATTGCGGGCACAATAATAAAAAGAAAAACGAAGGAAAAAGATGTGCGCACACTTGATTTAAAATATTTGTTTTAAAACTCAATTCATGAAAATCAACCATATTTAGCCGAGTTCCACGAAAGTAAACTCCCAGTAGTATGGTGTATCCTATTCAAAGAACTACCGCACTTTAGTTGACTTGTAAACTGGAATGAGATCTCTTCAGCTCTGGCTTGAATCACAACCTGCGTTTCGATGACCTCGTAAGCGCACTGAAATCACAAAGCTAATGAATCGTGGCTGGTCGTCCGATTAGCTAATCACGTTACATTTCGGCTATCGACCTCGACTTGTTGCATTTGCCTAAGCCAATTCAGAAATTGCAATTAAGTTCGTTTGCGAGCATTAAACGAGTTGGCCGAAATGGCAACCATTTGATGCAATTACGCGACTGGGAAATCTGGTTCATAACCATTTAAGCCGTACGCACCGCCAACTGGCGGACCAAAAGGACTTGCGCTTAATTAGACGTGGATGGCCATCGAAGCCATAAGGAAATGCCACTCGCGAATGCCAGTTGCCACTGGCAGTTCTAAATTGGGGGGACCGTCTAAAAAATTAACATCTGCGCCGGTTTGGTCATAATCAATTTTTAATTTCTTCATTCCCGTCAGAGGCCATAAATTCAATCCGGCTATGAAATAAATCCCATGTCGTTGCTGTCGCGGCTGCCAGACATAATCATAACAATAATAATATACTCGAAGCTGCGGAGACAAAGCGCCCAGATGCAGTGGGTCCGTCCTCGTCCGCATCGGCGACCCCAACCACCCGCTCGACCCGATCCTCCCCAGAAACCCCCTCCGCTTAGAGATGATGTGCAAAACGATACTCGGGCGGCGAGAGCGAACATCTCTCGGCTGCGAGTTGCAGTGCCTTATAAAATATCAACTTATTTAAAATAGTTATATGGGAGCTCTCTAGTTTGCGCCAGGCCGTATCTGTGTGCGATTATTCTCAAGGTAAACTACATTTTATTGTTGGGGCGGCTTTGTTATTATTATTATTTTTATTGCTTTTGGCATTCGTTCTGGCTTTACTCGCCCACCAGCGCGAGGTTTCTTTTTGTTTTTCTTTCCTTTCCACATGTGCAAATATGCGGCTCTTGGCCAAAATTCAAGAGCCACATAGAAAACGGAAAACTGAAGAACTATGAAACTGAAGAGCTTCTCCATACAGCCATTATGCAATCGATGGATCGATGGAGCGATGGATGGTGGATGGTGGAAAGCCTCTGGCCAGAACTGGCTGGCCAAGTTAATGAGCTGCATTCGCGTGGGTTGTTAGCGTTAGCGTCCGTCATTGATTGACCAAAATTGGCCTACTCACACAAATGTACGGGTGCTTTTTCTGATGCCACTTGGTTAGTAATTTTTTGTTAGCTGGTTATTGATGAGGTTTCTTATGGCTGCTTTGCTTAGTTTGTCATTAGAGGTCTTTGTGGGTTCGTGTTCGCCGCTCTCATTTGGCGGCTGCGCGTGTTGGTTATTTGTTTTTAATTTCTGGCTTCTGCTTGGGTCGCGGATTGGGGTTACGATTACCGGGGGAGGTACCTAGTTCCTCAACCACGCACTGACCTATCCGCTTCACGTGCACATCCCGATTGAAGCTGACCCTGGGTCCTCCATTCGCCGCTCCCGTGTGCATCTTAGCTCAGGGATGGGTATGGGGTTGGGTTTGTATCCTGGTATCCTTGTATCCTTGGCTGAATTCTCTGTATCTGTCTTGCTTTTCTCTCTCCTGTCGGGTCTTCTCTCGGAAGAATTGCAACCCTAAGTAAATTCTTTGTGTGACAGTCTCATCGAGCTGTTTGAACTCTGCGCACTTTCCATTTAAACTAGCCAATTTAAATGGTATTCAGCTGCAAAAAGAAAATATTCTCTGAGTTAGCCTCTTTTGCTCTGGTTATTGGTGTTATTCGATTATACGAGTATCTCCTGCGATTAGCCAGCTTGGGTTTAGTTTGCAGCTCGTCGGTTAGCCCAGTTTGTTTTTGTGTTTCACTTGTCTAGGGTTTTTAGCTCGGTATTAATCTTTATGTTCTGTACACATGCGAGTGTGGAGAAAGTCGTATTAAAAATAAATTAGTTAATCCAGTTGCTAAGACGTTTAGGGAAGTAAGTAGTAGCATTTGAATAGGTCAGAGGAAAGAAGAGCACGCCACAGCAATTTTAGCAGAAAGATATTAACATTTTCAGGGCAGTTTCGAGTACTTATCATATAACACCACACCTTGGATTCAAAATAATGAGTTCTGCAATGATACAATGTACCTCCTCTTAGGAAAAGATTTCCAAAATCACTTTGGCATCAAATTCTCCATACCTCTCTGAAGAGTATAAACATGACAGCAGTCAAAAGAATAATTGCCAATTAATTCTTATTCTTATTCCGATTCCGATTCTGACTCCAACTCCGACGCTCACTCTGACTGATTCCCCAGATTCGGGAGTGGGCACAATCGAATTGGGTTTCTTACGTATTTTTTGTTCCCTCTGACAATTACAAAAATAGACGCACGACGAGGGTGCCTGGGCTGCATACGAGATTCCAATTCTGGCGGGAGTGCCTGAGAGGAGAAAACCGTAGAAATATTGATTGCGATCAGGCAAACGCGATAATATTCATATTTGAATACGCGAGTGCAAACTCTATTTAAACAATGCATTATGCCCGAGGACCCGAGGGTAAGACGCTCCAGCCTGCCTCGATCCGCGTGCCCGAATTCGATCCCTGGTTCCCAGCCCAACGTCCAGTCCAGGCGACTGCTCCATGGACACGCACCCACCCAAAAGCAACATGCGCAAACTGCAAAACGAGGGATCTTGGGACCTGGCACATGTTTTATGACTCTGGCCGTATTATTTCTGCATAAACAATGTGTTTGTTTAAATGATAACCTATATCCCAGCTTTCCGGCTTAAGATGCATTGCTTCATGGTCCGATTCCTCCTAGTTGTAATTACTTAACTATTTCCTGTGCGTATTACTTGATATGTTAATTCAGAAAGTGGATACGAGAGCTAGCAGATAAGCTCTATCTGAAAACTCTGGTTAATAGAACTATGAAACATATATCTTTGCACTCTTATAAGGCCAGAACAGCATGTAATTGATTTTGGCCAAAACGTACTTGTAGAGTATATATAAGAAGGAGCTTGGCAAAGTGTGGAAAATAGCTGCCTAACACGGCACCTGGACAAGGACGGTGCTCATTCACTTTCTGGCTTACTTACAGGCCGCGGTCCTACAGGCTAATCCCCGACCCCGACCCCGGTCCAGGCCAAAACCCAAAACCCAGAGCCGACTGCAGTCCTGGTGCCCCGATCGAGTTCCAGGCGCTGGAGCTGGCCTCGCGCCCTAACGAGCACAATCGCCCGGCTAGACATCAATGGCCAATGGTCGTCTGTCTGATCACGGGCACCGATGCAGTCCGTCGCAGGGGAAAAACGCTGCGAGCTGCCAATAAAAATCCTTTACCATATAATTTGAGTGCGCATGCGTGCGCCCTGACGTTGATGGGAGCCGAGTTTGAGTCCAGACCAGCTCGGGATCCTATGGCTTGGGATGGGATGGAACGCAGGCGCTTATGCGCAATGCTACGCCAGATGCCGATGTCCGATTCCCGATGCCGATGCCGATGCCGATTGCCAAGCGTTGATTGCGCCATGAACGTGATTTGTTTGTAAACACGCATTATTAAGGTGTAATAAACATAAAATTTGTATCGCTTGACGGACCTTGGAGTCGGCGCAGCAGAGCTGCAGCGCTGCAATTGCATTTGGGCACCTCGCCATCCGGCCGCACATCTTTCAATTAAACTAAAAAGCCGGGTGTCCAGCCATTCAGCCATTCACAGCTCGCATTTGCATGTCTCCGGTCCGGGGAGTAGCTAATTCCAGGTGAATTATGCGAAATTATACGAATTACGCCCGTGCATGTGGGAATGGGATTAGATTAGCGCGCAGAGCAAACAATTTATGCTCCCCCCGATCGCTCGGCAGCCCGGCCCCAGAACCATAGTTGTTTTGAACTTGAACTTTAACACGGAAACCCCAGAGCCCAGAACCCAAGCCCCAACTCCACCCAAGTCTGGCAATCCCCTCCATACCTCCGCCGCTGTCAAGTGAAACCAAAAGTGCGCAGCAAGGCAAACAAACGCCTCGACTTTTGCCCACTTTGCGTGTGTTCTCAGCGCCACGGAGTCGATCTGACCTCTGGGGTTCAGGCAGCCGAGGGAGATCGGAATGGTCCACTGGGAGAACGGAACAGGGTAGAGAATGATCAGTCTAGCAGGAGTGGATATATCTTAACGCTTAAGTATAATCAATCTATTGGAACCTTATTGAAATAAAACATTACTAAATCCCTCGTTTTATTTGCAAAGTAAACTTCAACTATTCACTTTGGATTATCTTCCTTCAGTGGGCCTTTTTGGGTAATAAAATCAAGATACCCAGTCGGAATTTTTATTTTGGAAACACAACTAGCTTCTCTCTGCTGCACACCCGTTTTCGCGCAGTGTGCCATCCAGAGCGGCCTTTCACATAGAAGTGAAAATGAAGGTGTAGTCCAATTTGTAAGTATGGCCAAGCCCTGTGGCCATTCAAAGTCCATGTTATGCAAAGATCAGAGCGTCCCGTCCGCCCGCCACCCGCCACCCGACGCCCCCGGAATGTTGAATGCTGAATTCTGGATCCTACTCCCTCTGGAGCGGAGGAGCCGCGCCGGGTCGGGCCAACTGGACGTTGTCTAGCGTTGGAAACATTTTTCCATGCGTGCCTCGCCGCTCCGCCGCTTTGTTGGTGGCGCTCGTTCGCGTCCTCGGCTTTGGCAAATACTTAATTGCATTTCGATATCTATGCCGAGGCATCTGTGAGTGAATGCCGCTGCTGCCTCAGCGGGCCGACTGGTCAATATCCAATACCCAATGCCCAATGCCCAATGCCCAGTTCTCCAGACGGCTGGACAGCCAAAGAACGCGCCGGCGCTGTCTTTGGCTTGGCCGGGAGTCGCAAATGGAGAATGGGCAGTCGGGAATCGGGAGTTTGGGCCATGCCCATTCCAGTGCGTTTGGTTCGGTTTGGTCTGGACTGGAGTGGAGTGGAGTGGAGTGGAGTGGCATGGACGCAACTGGGCCGAGACCCTGGCGAGTGGCGTTGTGGGTATTGTCAGGTCTTACAACTAAATTCCCCTTGAGCCGAGCGCTTTACTAAGGAAATTAGTAATTGCTACTCCCATTTAGAGACATCTATGCGGGCATCTATGAACGTGTGGCATTCGCCAGATGATGACGATGACAAGTTCCCGCTCGGAGATTGTCTGGCGATTGTCCAGCGCCCACTCACCAGCTCGCACATGGGCGTCGTGGAGGGGCAATTATAATAAAGCCGAGCTTCAAGCGAATTAAGAATGAGATCAGCTTTTTTGAAAGGGTAATGCTTTAAAAGAATGTCGATATACATTACAGAACTTCATTGTAAACAGATTTTAGCATGATATCTAAAATAAAATTCCAAATTCACTTTTAAGTTGAACGTAGAGCTTAAAATTGGAAAGGCGATGCAGCTGTCGAATATTACACTTAAAATGCACATACTACTTCAGGGCATTATAAAGCCGTGATTAAATAGCTTTTTAATGAAAAGAAATTTGACTTGAACAGAATGAAAAGCTAGAATATAATTTCGGCGATCGTTCCTTAACCCCTTGAGGCCCACGTCCCTGGTTCCGCCATCCAATGCCAAACTTGGTCACATTGTCTGTCATAGTTTTTGTTGCCGCTCCGCGTCGTTTTCACGCTTTGTTAGCCAGCTAAACTGTATCTGTATCTGTATCTGAGTCGGAATTGGCTGGGAAGAAGCTTTCCTTTGTGCTAGCACCTCGCACTCGGACTAAGAGCACTATGTGTGTTAGAAGGTTAATCCAAGCGGCGTTACGTGGCATCTTTTTCAGGAAGGCGGCAAGTGTCGATAGCATAAATGCAAGTTGTTCCCAGCCAGCAAAATATGTAAATCAATTTCTTGACTTACATGTCTGGCTCTTTTTGCATGATTAATAATGCTTGGGATCGCCGGAGGCCGGGAGAGAAGACAAAAGATTTCACTTTTCGAACTCATAATTAGCCCTGGGAGTGTAAGTATTTCGGAGGTGATGGAGCGATGGAGCGATGGATTCTATCCATGTCATGGCTGGTGGCTCTGCGACTCCTAACCTGCACGGAAATCAATTAGACACCGCGGCGATTGGACAGTAGAGAGTTGAGATGGGTCGATCGATCATAGGTCTTTAATCGCTTAAAACTCGATCAGAGGGGCAGATCAGATCTCCGGTCAATCAAAACTAGGCAAAACCAGGGAAACGCTATGGTATGCAAACTTGTTTGCGCATTTCTACAAAGGGTATTAGTGCTAAATCATTTTCACTTTTATTTGAATTGCAATAGATTTTTGTCATGATCAGAAAGTTAGTTAAGTTATTGAGCATTCAAATTGTAACAGCTTGGTTCAAGCCCATCTTGCTCTAAAAATGCATCTTTAATTCTCACGCCTGCCAGGAATGTTCTCAGTTTTGGGGCGCCACTCCTTGCTCCTCACAACTCTGAGGTCCGCCAGTCAGATGACTGTCGAATTCTTCGCTTGTTATCGCTGAATTCGCCAGCAATTGTGCGCAATTATTAGCCGGAGAATCTGCGAGACTCGAAGCTTTCCCTGGGAAATCAATAAGGAGGCAGCGTCAAAGTTTCCGGCAACGAATCAAGCGCGGTGGCAAAGGTCAGCCGCTCATCTCAGAGCCAAAACACAAAAAAACCGCCTGGAGTCAAGGAAATCGAGTGACTCGTTGAGTGGGAAAAGGGCGAACTTGCACGCGATGTTGGTAAACTGGCTGGCTGTCTGGCTGTCTTAGCCAAATCCAGAGGTGCCTTCTTTGGGTCTGTAGTGCATGTCATAACCAACGGTGCATTCGCCATCTTCCGCCTTGCATAAGACCCCCGGATGGTTTCACTTTCCCGGGGTAATTAATGCCGATCGCTCCGTCCGGCCAACTAGCGGTAGCTGAAGTCGTAATTTATGCTAATTTCAGTTCGCAGATCGGTTAATTGATCCGCGTTAGATTCGATTTCGATGGGGCTGCGATTGAATGGCCAGTGGAGTGGATTGTAGTGGAGTACTGGCCCGGACTTCATTGATATGCAGTTCGATTCGGCTCGGTTCCATTCCCTTTATCCCAAAGTTGTTGACCGCGAATCAAAGTCGCCTACTTCCCGACCGGCATACAAAGTGCGCTTTCAACACTGCCCTTTGGACAATTGGTCAATTCGGGGGTGGATGGGGCACTGGACTTGTGGAAGCGTTATGAAAGCGTTACAAATCTGCGCTTTGAATACGACACTCCTCTGTAGTCCACTTCAGATGGGGCCGCTCGGTACGTGATAAGGCAATGATGATGATGACGACAAGTCGTAGACCAAATTGCGGCCCATTAACATTTCGGTCATAATCGATTCGGCTGGTTTTTACTGCCCTGTTTTACATCTAATTTATGTGCATGTAGCAGTGTCGCTCGGCCAAATGATATCATGATGAACGGCCCACGTCTTGGGGGCGATCCGGATCCGATTCTTAGAATTTCGTAATTGGCTCGGCTGGCAGATGAAGGCGCCCCAAACAGAGCGAACCAGGCGAAACTATCGGCCAATACATCAAGTTAATGACTTCATTGAAAGCCTTCCCGAACCCCAAAAGACCCAAAGAAGAGCCCCGAAATACAGTTCGGCTTGAGGATCATCCAGCTTCCCAGAGTTGCCGTTCACCTGTTTCCCAGGGCGTCGAGTTGCACATGCTTTGTGGCCCGGCGACACCTGATATCCCCCAGAAAGGTCAGCTTGTGAACTCCAAGCCCCGAGGACCGAAATTAAGCCAAGCGAGCGTGTCAAATGCCGCTGATTTGCGGGGCGGGGGCAACAATGTACCCAATTGAGAGGTAAGTACTTCCGCAGCGGTCTATGAAGTGTCGTATGCCATTTACCGTTCCGTCCGATCTGATCCGACTTGATTTCTTTTGGTTTGATTGGATTCCCGCTGTCCAACTTCCGGCGAAGAGCCTCAATGCCAGGTGGCGATGTTTGGCTCTTAAATCAAATGCGACCAAGTCAAATAATTTGTTAACACTGCCGCTTAAGTCAACAGTTAAACAATCTGCGATCGACGGCGCTTTCAGGCCGATTGCGCCACAGACATTGACAGACATTGATTTTTAAAGCCATTTTGTGAGTTTTGCCCGGCTTTTGTTTGGCTGTTGAACCCCCATGGGCAATTAAAGCTGCACGATGCCAAAGTGAATGTGCGGCGAGTTGCGAAGAGCGCTTCGCACTTCCAATCGATCGCGTAAGGTCACCAGGGAGTGGGATATGGCAACCAACTGGCTATAATGATTTGGGAGGAAAATGTGTGCTTCAATACGATCCTCGAATGCGGCATAACAAAAACTCTAAGCATACGATCTGAGTTTTATTCGTGGTGGCTGTAAAACCTACTCACCCAATTTTGTCTAACTTCTTTGAATGTAAATCATGCGCGAATTCTTCAGCATTTGTATCTTCACATTCATGATATATAGAAATATGGGCGAACTAACAGTCATCGAGTTATTAATTTTACTTGAGCTTTCAGCGCCAAGTTTCGATGAATGACTGATCCAAATGGGAAAAACTGGGCAACTTGCTGATCTAGGTTGAACGTATAACCACTATAACTCACGTTAATTACCCTGTTAAAGACTTTGGTGTCCAGGCAAACAAAGTCCATTCACGAGGCTTATGTATCTAAGAACTAAGCAAACAGTTGCATTAGTTCCGAGAATGAGTCGCTGGTGGCGGCGGCCTTTGATCTCGGTGACTAATTACTGAACCCGCGACGCTTCGTAGGTGTACGTGTTGAAAGCCGGACATGGACACTGCTCCGAAGCAGGAAGCTCCCGGGCCGGGCCGGGTCACCAACGAAATCGAATACAAATGAAGTACAGAAATCGAAATACGAAATACTGGCATCGCCTTGTGCGCAAATACAAATCATCCTTGACGCATGCACACCAAAAACGGCAGCAGAAAACAGCGAGCAAAAATATCGGAGCGCTGAAACCGAAAACAAGATAATACGGCGGCAACGCAACTCCCAAAAACGAAAATGAAACGGGCCGTAGGACTGCATACAAGGCAAGGCTGTAGACCTTTTTTGGCCACATCAACAAAAGCGGCTTTTGAGAATTTTCAATTTTTTTTAACCCCCAACTGAACCCCCCACCCTGAGTGCGTTCCTACCGATCGGAGGCTTCGTTTAAATTGACGTTTATTTCCAGACGACGACGACGACGACGGTCGAAACTTTCGAATTTTGGGCCTTTAATGAGGAGTCGGGTTAATTTGGCCGGGCATTTGAAGAGGCTCACAGGCACTCGGCGTCCTGAGCTGCAGCTAACAAAACGAGCACGAGGTGTTTACCAAGGCACCTACAGAGACACACCGACATATACTGGTACACATATGTACAAAACATTCAGTATATTTAACCAGCAAAGGCAACCAGATACAAGTGACGTCATGGGCCTGGCATTGGCATTGAAACTCAAGGTTGGTCTGGTCAAAACACTTTGGGCCAATAAAACGTCTCCTACGCACGCTGAAACACATGTATTTGTTAGAACTGCTGAGCTGAGTCCACGGCTCGTCCGTCCTCCGCCTGGAGATCCTGCCAGAGTAGGAATGGACACGCAATGTACCTCGAGTGCTTGGGATACAGATTGGAAAGGGCAAGCAGATCGCCCGCCACCACGATAAAGATCTGCGCATAGCGCACCCATGGCAAGCCGAAAAACCAGGTTATCGTTTTCTGGGAGTCCATTTTTTTGGCTTATCTCTGGACTGTGGAATATATTGGCGTCGAGGCTAGATCGAAATGAGCACTAACTCCCTGGCGATAAGGTTTTCGATTCCCATTTCCTAATGAATAACGAATAGCTTTGAACCTGAATTCAAATGTGCCGATGCTGGCCAATTACTTATGGATATTTTGGCAAAAAACCAAACAACAGCCATAAATATAAAATTCCTAGTCGCATTAAGCCACAGCTAATGTAAATTCCGCATTTGCAATGCTAATTCGTAAGAACCAATATATAGATTGCTGAGAGCAAGCAGATTTCCAACGAGAATCGTTTCCAAACGCGAAAACTTTCACTAAACTAGGCATTCATCATTGAAAAATTTTTGCTTTCGGTTGCCTTCAGCGGGCCTTCAGAATTCTATTTCCGCCCAAAACAATAAAGACGCTCGCATTTGCGGAGTCGCTCGAATTTTATTAACATCAGAATTGGCTGGCTATTGGTTATTAATTTGCATCCCCATTCAAAAACCACGTCGTGGGCTGTTAAGTGTATTTGTTAATGTTTAAGTTAATGTTGCCCCGAAATAACGATAGAAAGTAGACGGCGAAATGATCTTCCTCTGCGCCAAACTGAACCCCAAACGACTTCCAATTAACCAGATAGGGCGAAAGGTTGAGCGGATCAATCAGAAACCCAAACTATAGCCGAACCTCTGACTCACAATCGGCGCTGTTGCGTTGGCCGACTCTATTCTATATACGGATATGGAACAGTCACACACACCCACCCACATCAGTGTGTAACTGGGACACATTCGGGGGTCGTAAAGCCCACTGCAGATCGCTAAGGCGATTGCGATTCCGATTCAGATTACGATCCGCGGCTGAATTATTCAAGAGCATCGCGGAGGATTCGCCCAGAAGATGGGGGGTTTAGTATGGATAGTCGGGGTTCCGATCCGATTCGGTTTCAGTGGGTTATCTGGGCAGAAGCAACTACGGCGTTAACTGGCGGTTTTAGGGTGCTTTTACTGTACAAATCGAACGTCGACTCACCTCAGAACAGCATTCCTCGTGCGTTAGTGTGGGGGAGAACAAATGTTTTTGCAGTTCTAAGTAATTTGCGCAGTTCTAATTACGTTTATTTTGTGTTTGATGTGGGTTCGTTTCTGCGGCTTTGTTCTCCCACTTTTGTTATTTTTATTTCATTATTTCACTTGCCAAGTGTCGTCGCGGAAATTAGCTCGCTTGCAATTTATATTTCCCGCGTTGGGGGCTTTCGAAGTTGGAGTTTTGGTATGCACGTCAAATTTTAATTAGTCGAAAAACGTTTGCACAATTTAGCGAAAATTTATCACGATTTGTGTTTGAGATTTTGTGTCGGTTTGCGTGGGCTTCGCTCAACGGTTGAATGGACGTGCCGATGGTCGTTGCTGGTTTGGCTTTATATGGTATTGGCAGGGAGGATCGAACGAGATATCCTCTGTGGCAGATGGGCGCTGGCCAGTTCGTTTGTATTTAAGTATGTGTACTTTTGTAATTATTTATCGCTGCTAATTGCGAACGCGACGCAGTTTCGATTGTTTCCACAGCTGAATCGAGAGCTTTCTTCGGCCCAAGTGAACGCGATTACGTCTAAGAGCCGACTGAAGCCCAGAGCCAGCGTTTTGGCCAAGATCGCTGTTAAAGCTCGCTAAGAGAAAGAGAACGAGCAAGAGAGAGAGAGAGAGCGAGAGCTTAAACTTAAATCGGGCTAACAAGTGGCGCGGCAACAAGTAGCCGGTGTTTGCGGAGAGCGCTCGAGAGCCAGTTCGTGTTCTGGAGTCTTTCGTTTGCGAATATGAATCAAATCAAGGTTCGAGTACTCACTCGAAAACAAGTGAAACCAGATCGCCCAAACATTCTTGGGATGTTTTCCTACGCGCTGGCCAATATGAAAATGATGTTCCTGCCTGTTCCGTCTGTCGACCAGTTTCCACTGGCTTCTGTTCTGTTCGGTGACCCTCAGCCAGCTGCCCATCTCCGCACTTCCCTCCGCATTACGGGGCCACTCCCACTCATCAATCACTAGTCATTAAAGCCGAGCACTAATTAATTCATCTTCTAGATACGGCCGAGCAGGCGCTAATCCCTGGCTACAAAGGTAAACAAAGCGTGAAATATGTTCATAACTTAGCACTAAAACATCATCTAAACAAAAATACAGTGCTTCTACACGACTCTTCCGAACTAAATAATATTACCATAACTGGAATGCCTCAAAGATCACAAGTTTTATTTTCAATACGAATTCCCAATTAAGAATAATTCGCAAGACGGGGCTTTCACATGACTTAAAACCTAAAATTTATTCCCGTTGATCAACTTTAGATTCAATACAGTACACTTAAAAATGGTATAAAATTCTGTGACAGCAGGTTCTGCTTTTTGAAGTGCCTCTGTATTTGCATTATTATACCTTTGCGCCTTTACAGCCACACACTTGAATATTTGAATATCACAGTAATTAATCAAAAAGTCAGAGAAATAAGCAGCACACACAAATAAATCATCGATCGTCATCGTCGGTCAAGAAACTATAAAGCACGTCCACATCGACCCCCAACCCGCAATCCCCTACCAAATCGAAGGAACCCATTTCGTTTTAATAAAGTTGTCAACCCACGATACTGGCGTGTGAAGTGCTCTTTGAATATACACAGTGGGAAAATGTGTGGGACTAATTTAAAATCTAATGATTAGTGTTTTGTGCGTGAAGACGACTATATTAAAGGATAGAATTAATGAACTGAAAAATCATACGATTGTAAAACTGTATACATCCTTTCTTCAATCAATAAATCGAATTTGTTACTTTTAAAATGAGTTAAATATTAATATGTAGTTAAGTATATGTTAAAACGCACATATTTCAGTGTACTTTTTCGGAATTGTCAAGAGTTCGTTTTGGAGTGCTTAATTGTGCGCCCATAACGGTAAATTTGCGAAGGCCGAAGAATTTTAGGACTCCCCCTTATTTGCTCACCACAAAAAACGCGTTTTATGAATGAAAAGCGGGAGGCGAAAAGCTCGACTTATCCCCTGAGCTTTGCCCTTAGGCCTCTAGGGAGCTTCGCGGAGGAAACCCGAAAAGTGCGCGGAGCTTTATGCGAAAAACACATTTTCACCAAGCACATTTTCCATTCTGTTTGTTGTTCTCGCTGCGTGCGGTTTGTGTTTTATTAATCTGGCATATGCAGGCTTTATTAGTCAATTATAATTTGCCAAGACGGTTGCCTTTTCCCAGTAATAGTAGTGAACGTAGGATAATACGGACTTATTCTCTGAATTAATATTCAAAGCCGCGTGTCATTCCAAAATAGTGCGAATCAGTTGCCAAGTGGCATCATTTGGCCAGGCCAAAAAGTGAAGACCCCTGTGATATAAGCTGGCCTCAATGGGCATAAAAAGCTCCATGGCCAGTGAATCCGAGCTTTCGTCCCGTTAGTCGCGCCATCAGCTGACCCGGAGCAACAACAACCTGTGCGGAGGAAAAAAGTTTCGCGCTAAAAATACCCAAAGTTCATGGTCAACGTCCTGGGCGGAGCGGGCTGATTGAATCCCTGATACTGGCATCCCGACATGGCCCTGATTCGCTGCTGCTTCGAGCCTCCGGAGCTGCCTGAGTTCTTCGACAGCTTCGTGCAGAAGTGCACGGATCCCAGTTGTAAGTAAGGGAAGGGGATTTCAATCTACGATACTACATACATATATGCTATATTGAATGTAGTAAGAATATTTAAATAATGTCTTTAAATAAGAAATATAAATATTCAATTGATTTAGTGCGTTATAATATTTTTAAAGGTGTGATGAGTTACTTTAAAATGTTGGATACGGATAATAGTTCAAGTAATTTATATATAACATATTATCTATTAATTAATGGAAGTGAAAACGCAATAGAAAGAATAACTTTATATGGCTTTTATATAATTAAACAGTCCTAGGCTTAGGTGATTTTAGAATCCATCTGTATATCCAATGAATATGGCATCATTTAAATGGAACTCAAAGAACAAATATTACCCACGCACAGTGGGTAAAAAAAAGCAAGTTTGCGGCTACAATTATTAATTTACAGTGTGACAGTGTTCTTACACCGCACTCTACATAGTATTTGCATGCACTTCGCGCACGGTCACACCGCTTGCCTATCGATAGGCCGGCCGTGAGTGTCTCGCCACAAAGGAAAACAAAAGAAAAGTCGTAGCTGCGCTCTTTTATCGCTGCGGTTTATTATCTAATGCCGCGATAAAGACCCCAAGACGCGAATCGGGACGCTAAAATGCCTGGTAAGCGGTCGGCGGGCACAGGTGTCATCCGCTTGGCGTGCCACGGGCCATTGAGCAAGATGACCTCGCCACCAGGCAATTGGTCAGGAGGAATGACGACACCGACAAATCGATGGAATTGGGTGGTGCTCTATGGGGTAGCGCGGAAGTCGGGCGGCGGAAGCCATCAACCGACGAGCGATGAGCCGTCCAATCATTCAAACAGCAAAACTATAGTCCACTGGGGCAAACATCGCGATAAGATTAAGCGGAAAATGGTGGTCGCACCCAGTCGACCCGAGTCGATTTTCACACTACCACTATCGCCTCCACCACCATCACTCTCTCCAGCGGAGCGGTGGCGCCATGTTCACATACCGCTGCATCCGCGTCTGTCTGCCCAATCCCTCTAACCGCTGTGCATTTCCCTACGCTCTTCTAGGCTGCTGCGGATGCTGCTCAGCGCTGAGGCCGCGCTACAAGCGCTTGGTCGATAACATCTTCCCGGTTAACCCGGAGGACGGGCTGGTGAAGTCGAACATGGAGAAGCTGACCTTCTACTCGTTGAGCTCGCCGGACAAGCTGGACCGGATTGGGGAGTACCTGTACCAAAAGGCCACCAAGGATATTAACCGAAAGCGCTACAAGTAAGTGGGCCAAGAACTCACTACGTAATCTGCTCGCTAATCTTTGCTTGTTTTTGTTCAGACTAGCCGAGATAGCCATGGAGGCCATGGACCTGCTTCTGCAGGCTTGTCATGCCCAGACCACTCTCAACTTGTTTGTAGAGTCCTTCCTGCGCATGGTGCAGAAGCTTCTAGAGGACTCGAACCCCAACCTCAAGATAATGGCCACCAATTCGGTAAATCCCTACCCGGTAGAGCACTTCACTTAGCTCTTTTCATACCTCTGCTCTTGTAGTTTGTGAAGTTCGCCAACATCAACGAGGATACACCATCTTACCATCGACGATACGACTTTTTCATCTCGAAGTTCTCTTCGATGTGCCACAGCGATGCGGCTAGCATGCGTGACAGTCTGCGTCTGGCAGGAATCAAGGGCTTGCAGGGCGTCATCCGAAAAACAGTGTCTGACGATCTTGTGGAAAACATCTGGGAGGCGGAGCACATGGAGAAGATTGTGCCCTCCCTGCTTTTCAATATGCAGGTGTGTATTCTCCGGTACTTAAGCTCTGTCCAGCCCTTCGGTGATGGATACAGTCATCCATCACAGTTGTCTGTCTCATTGGCCTATTATTGTACTAATTTCGATGTATTTTGCATTTCGTTTTCGTGTATTTTGTTAATGCAAACCAAACCCAAACCAACCACAACACAACCAACACACAACAACAACCAAACAGTTTTGTGTAAACGTTATGTTCGTGAAGAAAAATTTACTGGCGGTAATGATCAAATCGAATTGTTCCATTACATAAGCATATTAGTAAACTCTGATTAGTCACCTTTAGCCTCGGTTTAGATCTTTATACTCACATATTTTTTATCACCACAGTCCGGGGATCTAACTCCCGTAGAAGACGCCACCAATGTGACGCCACCGGCCTTGGCCGAGGAGGTTCTCCGTGAGCTGGTGGGACGCGCCTCCTTCGGACACATTCGCAGCGTGCTGAAGCCGCTGCTGACGTAAGTAGCACCCCCCGAAGAATAGTATCTCGTTGCTAATAAGAGGTTTACCCTTTCTGATTTCCAGCCACTTGGACCGACATGAGCTGTGGGTGCCCAACACATTTGCCATTCACACATTCCGCATCGTGATGATCTCCATACAGCCGCAGTACTCGTATACTGTGGTGGAGACGCTGATGCAGCATTTGGACAGCAACTTTAAGTCCTCTCCGAAAACGCGCACTTCGCTCGCCGTTGTTCTGTCGAAGATTATAGCTATTGCAGCGGGAGAGAGTGTCGGTCCCTCGGCCCTGGACATCATCAACAACCTGTTGACACACCTGCGGACGAGTGTGAGCACTACCAGCGAGATTACACCAGAGGAGTCACAATACCAGGAGGCGCTCATCAACGCGCTAGGCGAATTTGCCAACCATCATCCCGACTACCAAAAGATCGAGATCATGCTGTTTATCATGAACACAGTGCCGGACCTATCCAAGAAGAGCAAAGGCGACCAAATGCTGCAGAACATTCTGCTTAAATCACTGCTCAAGGTTGGCACACAGTACAGCACCGTCTCCTTCGAAAAGGCATTCCCCGCCTCCTTCCTGCAGCCGCTGCTAAAGATGGCACGTGCTCCACACAATCCCACGCGCATGGTTGTGATGCAAATATTGCAGGCCCTTCTAGATCGTCATCAGAATGAGCAGGTGCTCAGCAGCGTGAGTGTGAAGCCATACCCGGCTCTCTCGCAAGAGCCGCCCTCGCGCTCCGACATAATATTCACGCACAAATACGGTGCAAACATCATGCAGGCGTTGATCGACTCGATGGCACTGTCGGATCGGGTTGACGCCCTGACCTCCAGTTTTAATACCGCTGCTCTACTCATCGTAGAAATGTCCTGCAACGAGACCGTTCAAGAGTTCCTTCTGTTTATCCTCGGGTAAGACCAATTCGGTAGTATTAAAAAACAATGTTATTATCGTTTTGTTTGGCCTGCAGAATCCAGCAGGTAGCCACCACCGTGGACACTCTGGGAAACGTGCACAAATGTAGCCTGCATGCCGTCTCAATTGGCCTGCTAGTGCTCATCTCGCGTGTTAGTGGAATCAACAACCTTCTGGAGTATGCGCAAAAGATAGTGGACGCACGGCGTGAAGAGGCCAGCCATTTCCTTCCTCCACTGCTTGAGCCTAAGAAGCAAGCCGGCAAGACCTTCAATCTGGCTCTGCCGCACTTAGCCATAGATAAGATGGCTCTGGGCGAGTGCTTGCAGAACGCGGGCATGGACGCCCAACGCCTCAACACTGGTGCTCCGTACTCGCTTAACCAGACGGATCACCCAGGACACCGCCACTCTTGGGTGGAGTCGGTAAGCAACCAGCTGACGCAGCGCAACAGCTCAGCGGATCTGACTGCCTACAACGGCGATGTGGACAGCGTTAGCAGCTCACCGGGAGTGTGCAAGAAGCTCCTTGCGCCGGAGTTTAACTTTGATGCCATGAAGCGAGCTCTGGCGGAGCCAACTGAGGCCGCTAAGCGGGAGCAGCGCGAGCGCCAGATGCAGATAGTACGCACATTCCGCGAAGGCGAGTTCGACGATCTAATGAGACGCACAGAACCTAAGGTGAGTAGAACATTTAAATATGTATGTATTATACGAGTATACAAAACAAAATGTGGCACTGTTATTCAAGATAGAATACAAATGCTTGTACTCCAGCACTAAACAATTTCTTGTTTTGTTCTGCACGTTAAGAACATTTAGCTACAGCTTAAAGAACTCTTGATATCAAGTGTAGTAAGTTAAAACTTTAATGTCATTGTGTCCATTCATTTCCAGCACGATGTCATTCAGAACCGCCTTAATGAGCTTTTTAACTCGCTAGCCGTGGAGCGTCAAATTACGCAGAGCGACACCAAGTCCAGTCAGTTGCAAGCTTGCAATGAGAAGCCCATCTACGAGACGAACTTCCCGGAACTCTTTTACTATTAGAACGTATTGCTCGATCCGGAAACGTTATCCGGCGAATATTCTCTAATCAATTCATCTATAACTATAGCCCAGAAAGCGAATTTGTTTGGTGTCTGTATGGAACTAGGTAAATCTTATTAAATTTTCTGTTAAAAATCAAACAATTCAATTGTTAAACAATCCTGAATATGTACTTTGAATTAATTGTTATACAAATACATATATGTATACAAGTATATTTTAGAATAGTGTATTCAGATGTTTTCAAATTTCTCCCAAAATGGGACGTGATGGAAAAAAGAGTGGAGTAAGTGGAGGGTCGGCACCTCACTGCCACGCCTCCAAGGCAAGCTCTATCAGTGGATACTCGGTGCTAAAGCACAGGGACGATGGCAATGGACGCAATCCGTTCTTTCGGTTCCTGGCCCACTTTCGAAAATGTTTCAACAACTGCCTTGGTCACTTGCCCTCGGGTCGGGTAACTTTAATTGCCAGCAAGATGTGGAATTGCATGAGTCAGGCGGAGAAGGAACCCTTTATCGCTGCTGCGCGGAGATTTAACTACACATATCGATCGCGAAGCAAAAAAGTCAACTGGGTCCTGGAGAAACTGCGAGAATCCGCTGCTGGGGTATGCCAGCCGCAGGCACAGTGGATGTTGGTCAACTCCTTGAAGTCTTGGCAGGAATCCGTGCTGAAGGACCTTCTAGACCTGGACTACAATCTAAACTAAATCAAAGCCGATTTGAATTAAGTGTAATCTTTAATAAATGATCACTCAAGGTAGTTGTTACTGTGCGTACATTTAGCGAGTAAAAATGTGTTAGGGACAGTAATTACATGCGTTGAACTTGCAGGATTCGAAGACGCATAACCATAATTTGTTTGCCGCGTTTCTTGTTACTTAAACATAACAATTAATCTTACAATTTCGAATTTACAAACTATATGCAACGCCTACATTGTGCGAGGGCACTAGGTCGTGCGTCTACTCTAAATAAGTAGATGACGTAAAGCGTCATTACATGATACTTGTGATGTAAACGATATACAAAAATATAGGTCTGCGCATTCCAAAACGATTGCGGATATGCTTATGCTCAATGTACAAACGTCTAGATAGAGTGATCAGCGGTAGCCAATCGCGATAGCGATAAACGAATTTACAAAACAACTACAACGAGCCCGAACTGCAGCGGGAAAATGAACAAAAAATGGTGGTAGTGGTGGTACTAGTACTGGTTTGGTGGACTGCTTCTATTATCGTGCTCAGCACGCCAGTTGTCCGCAGATTCCGCCCGTTTCGCTAGCCGACCAAGCGATTCTGGGCCGTGGGGCTGGCGAGGATGGTGTCGATGGTTCAGAGTCGCCAATAAAAACTGCCGAATCATCAGCACTGGACGGGGTTAGCGGTCTGTCGCTGTTTGCTCCGATCTCCGAAATGGGTATGGAAAGCGAGGCTGTCGCCTCCTCGCTAAGCGGAACAATTTCCTTGAAACTCTGATTCGGTGGCATTACCACCAGCATGTTGATAGAGATCAGCAGTGGATGCACCAACTTCGAGTCTAACACCATAAGCGGCACCTCCTCGTTCTTCTCGAGGCTAAGAGAACAGATCTCGGACGTTTGCGTAAATACTGCCTGACGCTGGGCGTTTATCGAGGTCACCGTGGTTCGAACCATGAACTTGCGCTTCGTCTGCAGGCTAAGCACTCGCTCGTGCTCGTGCCGATGGTGGCGACGAATGTTCAGTCTGCGCGAGTCCATAATCAGGATGAGATCCATGCCAAAGTTGAAGCCCGTCCAGCGCCACTTCTGGTAGCCAGGCTCGAGCAACATACGTCCGCATCGCATGCAGTTCTCAAAGAACTGCTCATCGTCCAGCTGCTGAGGACTACTGTAAAGGCAGAATAAAAGAATTTTGGTTTTTACTGCCATAATTACAGGAAAGGCTACAAAAGACGTACCAATCCTCCTGCCCATGATCGATCCGTAGTAACGCATCCCAGTGGTTGTGAATGTGCCGATACAGCCACTCCTTGGGTATAATATTGTCATTGTATATGATTTTTAGATCCATGTAGTGGTTGGTCAGGTACTGGGTCCGCAGCTTCTGGAAGACCCTCACATAAGGCTGTCCCTCGGGCGTGGCCAAGAATGAGCGTTCCTCCATGCGGCTGGTAAAGTACTTCCACTGAACGACATCACCGCTGGGCGCGTTCATTTCCACGCCGGCATTAACCAAACGCTCCTGCGTCTTTAGCGCCTCTGCCCGCTGCACCGGGTCTTCAGGATCGTAGTCGGGATGCAGTCGCAGAAACATCCATGTACGCAGTAGTGTGTACAGCGAGAACTCCGTCTGCATCACATACAAATCGGGACTGGCGGTCAGGGCACTCATCAGCTCAATGGAGATGTGCCGAAGCAGGTTCGGTTGCTTGCTATAAATGCTTAGCAGATTGATCTGGAACCACTGAAAGGTGGACTTTTTGACCCCGACCACACCGTACTGGCAGGCGGCTTCATAGTACTGGATGGCTGTCTCCGGACTAATGTTGTCCACCATCACCTCGGCGCACTTGTCGATGATCCCTTCTAAGTGGAACAACGTGGCTGTGGCCAAAACCGAGATAACATCAGCTGACTCGATTTCGATCTCATCGGAATACATGGATCCGAAGACAGCATCCAGGCTAGCCACGGTGATCCGGTCGTCCAGGATTGTGATCTGAATAAAATTCTGCTGCGCCTCCCGCCACGTCCCGTTGAACATAGTGTAGAAGTAAGGACTCTGGCTCAGATATACTTTGTGCAGATGCCAGACCTTATCCAGAGCCATGACAGCAACATCCGAGTTCTTTTCCTCCTTGAAGAGCGCCTTGTATATGTACTGGGTGGTAGTAAGAAGCTTTTTTCTGCGGAGGTGAAGATGTTCAGTGTTGGTTGTAGAATGTAGAACACTGTAGAATGGCAAGCACTTACTTTTTGGGCTGTGTTGTGTCCAACTGGGCCGGGTCATCCCTCCCCAAAGCAGAATCAGTGCTGCGCTTCCGCTTCCGTCGATTACTGAACACCTCCGCGACGTTCATATGCATGGAGCCCACGATTTGACCCATGGCTCGGCGCAGGAATTCTTACTCTGAAAAAACAGTTGTTCCATATAACATTTTTCTGTTATCGATCTGAAAGATTGCGTGTATACGATGGCCCTCAATGGAACCAGTTGACCCAGTTTGGCTCCGCCAAACTGTAAAGCCAGCCGCTGTTAGGGCGGGGAAACCTTTCCCGGGTGGGCGAACATTCGTGTAGGCGACATTACAGGCCCTAAAACCAAGTGGAAAGCGCATCCATTTATAAGTTATGGTGATGTCATCACACATCTGAGGTGTGATGCGTAAGTTGCAATCAAGACATATGATCGGATGCTTATCTTAGTGGTCGCGGTATTTACCTATATTGATGTCTAGTTTGGTCTTTTTGATTAGGTACTTAAGCTTGGAATAAATAGGTTGTTTATTAGATTTTCCGAATATATTCGCTCTAATAATATATTAATTCATTTTTAAGTTGCGTACAATTTATGTTATTATGTTTTAAAATGTAGGTGGTCTAATGAGATTGTATGCACGGAATACGTAACCTAGTAAGAATTACAGAAACATCCGTTCAAAGCGATTTTAACGACCCGAACCGCACTGTAGCGCAAACATTTTTTGGTAATTTCCAGGGGTCGGGACTCTATAATTAGAATGAGATCAAACGAGCTCGATTCCATGCGCGTTTCATGTTGTGTTTATGCTTGCCGCCAAATGCTGAAACTGGACAAGCTGATGTAACCATGTCAAGGCCGCGCTGGAAGCTACTACACGTATAAACATATGTGTATTTCTGCCCATAAACAATCAAGCGGACGCTTTCGTCACATCATTGGGTCTCATTGATATGGTCGTCCCTAGTCGGATAATACTCGACCTAAGCTTATCTATTCGGATGCGGAACCAGCTTAAAATAATGATGATTTAGCCGAGGTGGATAAAGGTTTGTTTTGGTGTGGCGCAGTTCCGAAAACAAAAGTAGTGTTCAAAACCGGTTCCCAAAGCGTGTATTTCTTCTTATAAGACCAAAACAAGACGATTGCAATGGTTTAAATTACGTCACCAGTTGAAGCCAGAGAGCAGAGAGAGCTTGTTGATGAAGAGAGAAACGAGCAAAAGGGGGTGGACCAAGACCACTAAATAATGTCGGACCTCCAAGTGTCACCCGAGTGTCCACAAGTCGTAGTTTAAAAATTACAGGGAAATGGCGAGGATAATAAAATGTTGATTAACCAGAACCACAAATGGAACCAAACTTCATTTGATGTAATCTACTGAAGCTTTTGTTTCGATTGTGGTCACATTAGGAGCATTTCCACTCAATAACAACTTTTCACGCTTGACAGATTTTATCTATTCCAGCTGGGATTAAATGTTTTCTTTTGAAATGTATTACTCGGAGGCTTAGACTTATTAAGAGGATGATACCACGAGTGATGTTATCAAGATATAATTTTGAACCGTTTTTTTTTCCTTGTTTTTTACACATGTATGATTTTCTACATCATACAAAACAACAAAAAGTTAATGTTGCCCAAGGAGTTAACGGCTAAATAACGTGGGTGATCGTCGAAAGAAGCCAACAAGCATGGGCCGAGAATCGAACCTCGAACTCGCGCACGGATTTCGTCGGGAATTCCAGTTGCCTTAGACGACTGAGCCACGGTAGCTAGAAAACTGGGAATGTTTGAAATCGTAGATAGGTGTTTGAAACAGGTTAATAGTGTGGTTAACCTGCAGATAAGGCCACGCACCGCGCTCTTTTATTTATGGATGCGAAATCAGCTGATTTACAGCGCAAAAAGCGTGTTTATTCGCACTATTTACGATTGACTGTTGTTTGGCCCTGATAACACGCATTGGGAGATATGGAAATCAAATCACCAGACCACCAACTTTTTCCCACTTTTTATCCCCATGCTCCTGTCTGTGCAGTTAATCCGCAGCTATAAATAGCAAACAAAAGTGAATTCGGTGGGTGACGTAGTTGGGAAAACAGCGAAGGGGAGGGTGGATACCGTACGGAAGAGAGAGAGCGACAGAGAGAGCGCGCTAACGAACGACGCAAAACTGAAGGAAACAAGGTACACAAAGGGGAACTGATAAACGAAACTTACTGTAAATATGCAGTTACTGTGCTTTTGCTTTTATATAACTACAATTGCACTCCACGGCCACTAGCTTCGTTACCATTAATAAAATAAACACGGACTAAAATTCTACGCGAGTTTGGATAGTCATGCGGTTAAAGCCATTTCAATTCCGTTCGCTGTCAATTTTATCTCTGTTTTGCTGCAGTTGGCTCTCCAAATGCGTTAGATATGGCCACCCTCCGATAGCACAACCTGCCTTTTGATTTTATCGCTACTATCGATGTTTGCCGATAGGCAGGTTCGGGGTCTCACTTATTGCGGTCTCACTTATTTTGAAATTCAAATGGAATGCTTATTTTTATTTTAACATTACAATGCAAAAGCATAAACTTTTTTTGAGTTGCCTTTTTAAAGTAAGTATTTCCCTCTGAAATAATTTTAAAAATTAAAACGCACTTTAATAATGGTAATAAAGGAATATATAAATTTGTTCAACTGGCAATTAGGAATACAAAGTACATACACTATGAATGATCAGAAATAATCAGGTCTTCGTTATGTTGCCTATAATTTCAACATCCAACATAAAATTACCAATTAATTTGAATAAATTTGTACAAATAAGTACTTACAAAAAAGTAATAATGCGAAATGCATATTCTCAGTGTGACCGTGTTGCGCAGCATTTTACCACTTTCAGAGATTAGTGCTCTTGAGTTTTCTGTGCTGCGCAGCAGTTAAATAAAATTGAATACCCGTAGGCTGCAGATATAAATCGGAGTTGAAAACCAGTGCAGCTTGCATTGGCCCACAAATCGAAGGTACGCCTTATAAGCGAGAATGAATCAATTGCCGAATTAGTAGTGCAAAAGGTCAAAGCAGCAGCCGTGAAAAAGTGGCACACATAAACACAAATACACATACGCGCAGATGCAACACACACACACACCCGCACACATAAACACACATATGCACAAATCCGTGGGATGAATAAAACACCCACAATTGCTGATTGTTTTCTGCCCCCGTTATCGTTATCGCTTTCGTTTTCGCATTCATTTTCCGCAGCCGCAGTTTCGTGGGGCGTGCAATGTTCAGGATCCACCTCAAGATGGGTCCCCAACGCAACCAGCTTCACAGCAACAATGGTGCCGCCGGAAGTAGCAGCAGCACCGGAAACCGTCACCTTAAGGAGTTCACCTGCTGCTTCGGCCTGCATGTCCACACGGCCACCTTGATGATCGGATTGTGGCACCTGGTAAGTGCATCGAAGTGTACCCTTTGACCCATTGCAGTGCTCGGTGGGCACATGCATATGCATGTGTGTGTATATCCAGATACACCCACGCATGCAGTCCTGCGGCATTTGCAAAAAACCTTTGACCCTGCTCAGTGTCACGCAAGGGAAAAATCAATCAGCCAATGACTGCAAAACTTTGCGAAGGCGAAGACGAGCCAACTCTGCACTTTCCCCGCCTGTGACGTCAATGGGGCTGATTGGCCGCTGCTGCGTCATCTGATCAAATTTAACTACTATCATCGGGGCTTTGCCGTAACAACTTATTTCTGCATTCAGTTCCCGTATCCATTGTCCGAAACTAACCTTTCACAAGATCTGACTTCGCATAACCTATCGTTACACTCAGAGAAATGTAAAGCATTGTTGAATTTTCATAATTATATGACATGAATTGCATGAAAGAGAGGAGAGATATATTCATAGAAATTTATATATGTATATGTATAAGTCTTGTTAACATTTTTTTGCGAAACCTAGAAACCTTTGACGAATGTTCCTTTTCTGAGAATTTAGAGAATTTATTCTCTGTGCTTAAGAGAATAATGACTGCGATAGCGACATAGACAGGATTTTAATTGTTGTGTAAAAACCCTTGCTTAATAGTATTTGTCTCACTTTACTATTTCTGAGTATCGAACATTGCTCCGATACTTTCTTTATGCTTCGACCAGGTCACGTTTTGTAGTATCAAACTCCGTCACATGGGTTGATTACGGAGTGGACGGCAGTGGAGCTATCTGCCGTAATTTGCCCAATCTCAAGGGTTTCTTTGTTTACATTTTGTAGATATGTATAGCTTGAAAAAAAGAAAGCGATTCGGCAAATCGAAGGTTGCTTAGTTGGTTGACTCATCCCCAGAGTGACAATTGTTGATATACTGCGGAGCACTGCAGATTAAATTTCACACTGGTGAATAATTAAACTAAAGATGGCAAGCTGCCGCATCTAAGGTCGTTGCAAGGCCTTCAACCTGAGATACTTAGATACCGAATCGGATATCCAACGGCAGCCATCTGAGCAAACAGCAACCAGATACATATTTCCATGAGCGCTTAAGTTATTTTTAATAACTACACGTACTCGACAAATGATGCGAAAATATTTACTCTTGTGGTGCTTTACTCTTGCTTTTCGGTAAGAAAGATATATTCTTCTGGAACAACATTCTGAAGTGTGCTGCCATAAATCTGAGAATTGTTAATTCAGCTGTCATCTATCAGCACACAAGTTGCAAATCAAATCAGGCGAAGCTCTCTTATCTCTTTACCAGCTTATCTCGATGAGCGAACCCACACACCTGCGAACGCACTTCAAATACTTTTAGATGTTGAGCTATCTCTGAATTCCCCCCTCGTGATCCTTCGGAATCTTTGCTTCGTTTGTGACGTTTCACAACTTATTCACATTTTTATAAATATTTTTTCTGCCCACACAAAAATCTACATTCCTCACTTCCAATGAAATCCCACCCGGAGGAAGCTGTCCAACTGGTGAAGGCATTTGCGAGATTCGAATGCAATGCCCCACACAGACGACACATTTACGGAAGGCAATTCGAGTTGCTCTATTGACATTGGTTCCCCAGATACAGTCATCCTGCGCAGCTGTGCTCCAAATGTGACGGAGGAAGAGCAAGAAAAGGTCCAGGAGGGGAATGATGAGCTAAGGGAGCTGTACATCAATCCAACTGCCATCAATTGCACATCACCTTCTGAACTAAGCATCCAGACTGCCGTTTTCAACACTTTAAAAGAGCGTACGCTGTTTTCATTAGGCTACTCGACAGCCGGGCTTTTTGAGAATCCGAAAATCAATAAGACTACAAAAGAGAAGATCAGTTTGTACCAAGAGATCGTGAGACTGGTAAAGCGACGTGCCCAGACCAATTCCGAGGTTACCATAGGAAAGGAAAGGCATGCCGTCCACCTGATGGTCTTACAGAGCTTTTCGCAAATGTTTCGCGATATGGGCAATGACTTGAGCGTGGACCTGCCTGAAGAGATGATTACGCCACGCTCCTTCGGCCTAATCTACGAATGGATGATCGAGGACAAGCCTATCCTGCCGCGCCTAGGTTTACTGGAGGTCTTCCACGCTGCCAAATTTCTGAAGATTCCACAGTTGGTCAGTCAGTGCAAGCATTGTCTCGATCATGGCTTTACTGAGGACTCCGCTGCGATGCTGTACTTTGAGGGGCAAATTCTGAAACTTGAGTTCATCCATTTGGAGTTTCTTGAACGCGTCTCAAAGTTTTTTCTCACGCTGGTGGCATCGAAAGAATTTTTGCGACTGCCCCTAAACTCAGTGCTCTTGCTGATCCAATCGGATCTGATAGGCGTGAATACGGAGCTGGAGGTCTTCATGGCAGCCGCTCGGTGGTTAAGCCACCACTGGCCTCAAAGACAGCGATTTTTAACGGATGTTGTATCCAGCATACGTTTTGGACTAATCCCGCCGTGGTTGCTCATCCGTTTGCAGAAACCGAATGTCACCTCTGTGGGGGTGAGCAGAATAGTAGCGCAGCCCATTGTGCGCCAAGCCATTCATGATGGCATCGCATACACGACAACGCGGCTGTTTTATGGAACAGATCGCGAGGCTTTTATGCAGTATTTGCATAAGACTTGTGTAAAGCCACCCGTGCAACGCACCTGGATATATGACCAGAATTGTCCCTATCACCATCGCATGCAATGCAGGAACACGCTGGACTTAACCTACGAGGCGTTCCTTGAATATCTTAACTACCTGCAAGGCCAGCACCGGGATTACTGGAAGTCTCTGGAATTAGTAGATGCCAGCAACGTGTGCTTCAGTTGCCAGGCAAAAAAGGTTGAATTAACGAAGCCGAACAGTTGAGTTTCCACGTTGGTTGTAAAACTTGTAAAATATATATTTGTACTTATATATGTAAGGCTTACTCATTTTAGTAAATAAATCCGCCTATGTTTATTTTCAGTTCTTAAACATCTTAGCGCTTAGCGTTCTAGCGGTCATATGGCGCAATCCGGAGATGATGGACGAACTGGAAGGCGGCAACCACGACTACACCGTGGATCTGAGTGCACCGGCCCTACCCACGCCACTGAGCAAGGTCGAACCACCCTACGCCTACCGTGACCACTCCATCAACTATCGTAAGAGTTACCGTAAGCAGTGAAGAGAGCAACTTCCGCAAAGCATTTAAATATATATTTTCTGCTGCAGAGAATTTTGATATGGGCGGACTGGTATGCACCTTAATGATAGCCATCACGCTGATGATGATCTACGGAACCATCAAGGGAAAACCCTCACATCTGTTGCCATTCTTCTGTCTGCAGTTGTTTGATTTCGCCATAACAACGTAAGGATTACAATCGGGGGAGTTACAAAGACCGCAACAGATTTAAACCGCTACTTCGGCAAACGAAAGTAGCTTTCTTAAATCCCTAGCGGTTTCTTGGACTTCCTTATAAGGTTCTTATTCTTCAAGATTAATGTACATGTGCATGCTTGGTTATTATAGTCTCACCGCCGCTGGATATCTGTGCTACCTGCAGGCCATTCACAGCATTATTGCCGAGTCGCATCGCTTGCCCTGGCGCGAGAAGCTGCTGGAACTACCGCCTGAGGAACTAGTTGTCGTTGTCCTGGTCGTATTCATCTGTATTGTGTTTCTAAAGGCTTATTGCATTGGAATCGTATGGCGCTGCTACAAGTACTTGACGCTCCGTCAGCAACACGTTCGCACCCTGTTCCCCTTCCTGGAGCCACCGACCGGAGTCCACAGTGTTGGCGGAACCTTTGGTGCCGAGGAGCGGTCTTACTCCACTCTGCTGCCCAACTACGATGAAGCGATTGCCCAGTACTTGAAGCAGGCACCACCGCCATCATATCAGGTCGCCATGTCAAACTACGAAGAGGGAGAAGACGCAGCTGCTGGAGGGGCGGAAGTAAATCCCTCGGTGGCACCTCTCTTCGTGGCCCTTGGAGCAGCCACTACCGCTAACGTCGCCTCCAACACGGATGATAACATGGATAATAACAATGATCAGCCGAACAATAACAACACTATGCATGTCAATGCTAATACGCCGCCAATGCGTCGCAGCGATGCAGCCGTAAACGCTAATGTCGAGGATGAGGTTGACGATTTGGAGGTTATTGACGCTGGCGTTGATGTAATCGGAGGCATACCGCCTCCTCCGCCCTACAACGACGTTGCCGATGCCCAGGTGCAAGTGCCATCGCATTCGCCGCTGCATCGGCAGCCAAACATCCCGGGACAAGTGTTCGGCGGACGCGACGAGAGCCAGGCTTAAGCTGTACTTTCATGGCGAGTGGGTTGTGAACATCGATGACCACCCCTCTCCCATCCTCTTCTTGCCCAGATGATCTGGTTTCTGGTCCCTGATCTAACTGCTATCATTCCCAGGCGCACATACACGGTTTTAATGGTTGCTTCGATGTATTGAACAGTGTATTTAGAAAAACAAAACGCAAACAAGTTTTCGCTATTAGCCATCGCTCATTATTGTTGTTTAACGTACAACTAACAGCTGCTCTAGTTGCTGCTAATTTAGTAAAGAAAAGCATTAAAGCCAAAAACATATTGTGATGCTGGCGAGGAAAGCATCAATTCCTTTTCGGCCGCATCTGACCCGATCATAGCTGCAACAATCTGTAAGAACATTTTTCATTTGGCCCGAATTAGCCTGAGAAGTTCGGATAGTGTAGGCCCAATTAGTTGTTACCCGAGAGTGTCGCTGGCATGGCGGACACCTTTACGATGTTCTTTCTTTTAAGTTATCTCGTAAGACTATGCATATTAAATACCGTGTACTGAATTTGCAGCACAGGCAGACATAATCGATTAATTATGATGATATTACCAGCAACAGTAAAGTTTTATGTGTGTACAATATCTAAATGTATACTGTGTACTAATTATGCAGAGATATTCGAATAAAAATTAGTTTTTATTTAATTAGTATTTGGGACTTGATTTTAACAAATGGCGTTTAAATTAATTTAAATAGCTTATAATATAATGTAATTTTCAATTTCGGTTGAAACCTTAATTACGATGGGCATTGGCTTCAAAGAAATAAGAATGTTGATGATATATATTTTTATTAGGGTACGCATAGAGAGATTCTGCAAACTATTAAATTTAAACGGGAACCATCTACTTCCCGAGAGATCCCATTCCAATTATACCTTTACTTTTTATTGTTTTGATATCCGTAACTCGTAGAGTACAAGGGAAGACTAGATTCGTTGAAAAATATGTAATGGGCAGAAGGAAGCGTTTCCGACCCTATGGAGTATATATATTATTGATCAGGATCAAAAGCAAAGTTGATCTGGCCAAGCCCGTCCGTTTGAACGTCGTGATTTTAGGAACTAAAAAAGTTTTCTTTCTTGCCACGTCCACCATTTTACATTAGGTATTACATTTTGTTTTGCCACGCCTACTCTAATGACTTGTATTTTTTGTGAAGTACAAAATGTATAATCACATTCTATATTCACATGACTATTAATAAGAATCGTAGGAGTTCCCAAGAAATAATTCCCCGGAGAAAAATCCCCGAGATTTTATTAATGTGTGCGATTGTATTCTTAAGATTTTATTGGAACTGACTTCTATATTTTTTATTGCGTTTTCTTCGCGCTCTTAGGCCTTCCAGTTGGACCAGGTGCGGATCTCGTTCCAGATGTTGGTGCCAGGGCATTCGGTGGAGCCGACCTGGCGATGTCCGTACAGGATGTATCCGGAAACAATTTGGCCGCGACTGACGGCGTCGGACAGCAGACCCTTGGCGGCGGTGATCTGAGCATAGGTTAGGGTATCGGTGTTGTAGTTGCCCAGGAAGGAGATGCCGATGGACTTCGAGTTCCAGTTGGTGGCGTGAGCACCCAAGACGTTCCAACCGCGTCCCTCGTACACGTTGCCGTCTCCGCCGATCAGGAAGTTGTAGCCGATATCGGCCCAGCCTAGGGAGTCCATGTGGTAGGCCTGGATGTTCTTCATCTGGGTGATGCAGGCGGCCTTTGTGCTGCAGTAGTTTCCAGCGGTGTGGTGGATCACGGCGTAGCTCAGGTAGCTGGCCAGCGAGGTCTTGCTCGTGGCGGAACGGCCGCCCCACTCCGACTTGGAGATAATGGTCACGCCGAGAACGGCTTGTGCGCAGAAGAGCACTGCCAGAAGGACGAGAGCTTTGTTTGCCATGGTTGCGGATCGATTGTGCGGCCTGTCGTCCGATCGGACCTTATATACTCCGCGAGCCCTAGCTTATCGCCTGCGAGCCGATGTGTCAGGTTCGGGCTACGGTCCGGGTCGTGTGCTTCCATCTGATAGGGGGAGGGCTATCTGCCGGCCAGATCCTGATATGTCGATGACGGAGACACAATCTCGCTTCTAATCAGCCCAAGTGGCATTAATTAATTTGTCTAAGAAGAGGCAATATATTGTGCAGCCTAAGACCTATCAAAGCATTGGAAATACCTGTTCGGAGTAGAATTACATGATCCGTACACCGTTTACCAATGTCTAAGCCCTCTTTAAAGACTTCTCACTTGCGGTTATTTTCATTTTTAATTAGAAAAGCATTATTTTTGACAAAAAAAATATTAAATCTAAATGTGTTTAATTAGGCTGTCTGATTGACTCCCTTTGTGATCCCGATTAAGAACATATATACTTTATATGGTCGGAAACGCGTCCTTCCTCCTGTTACATAATTTGCAATGAATCTAGGATACATTTTACTCGACAAGTACCGGTTACACATATAATGTAAATGAAAATGTAATCTTTGAAGCTTTATAGCACTTAAAACTTTACAGGACCTCACATTTTATGGGCTTCATCGAAAGTGGTATTCGAATTTTAAGTAATCTAGTGGATAAATCTGATTTTTCTCCAAACAGCTTACTTTTCTGAGCTGCCTAGATCTCCAAAAACCATAAAATGAAAAGCGAGGTTATTCGCTATAAAAGCTTTGAGTTCGGATAGTCTAGTCCTGGAAGCTTTCGTTGCCATAAAGAAGAATTATGTAAAAATAAACGAAGTCCTAGTAAATTTACAATTTACTTTACATTACATTACACGGGCTATGTATTCCTTATAAGGGTTCTAAGTTTGAAGTTTTGATGACAACCAAAATGAAAGCAGGTTAGATACCTGACCCTAGACAAAATTGTAGTGAAATAAGAGAAAAACTTTATTTTTAATGATATATATTTGTGGCTAAACACCATCCATTATGTTTCCGTCGTGCGAGCATCATGCGACTATTTGAAAAGTTCCTGTATAAATTATTTTGAGCCATTTTTACACTTCTTATCGGAATTGATTTGATCTTTTCAGCACTTATTTATAAGTGTTTTAAAAATGGTGAATAGGTATTATAAGTGGCTGATATGGATCAAAGAACGGCACTAAGCGAAATATTATTATATTTTTAATCAGAGTCGCAAACAAGGCACAATTATTTTACCCCCCATATATACGCCCCTATTTTAAATGCGTTCCACAAGATAATGGGTATACTTTTTCGCCTTTGTGTGTGAGACGACGTCGATCGAATCAGCCTTCGATAAGGCAAAACTTATCAAAATGTCTTTATTCGCGGTTAGCAAAAAGAATTAGGGACTTCGATGGAGACAATGCGACTCCCAATATCATTATCTTCAAAGAGTACAAAATTTATAGGAATTACATTTATTTTATGATTACATTTATTTATAGGCCAAGGAAAATCGATTTATTACAATATAAGGTAATGCCAATTATTCGCAAAGTAGAAGGGGTATACTTTATTTGTTGAAAGGTATGTAAAAGGTAGGAGAAAGCGTTTTCGATCATATAAAGCCTATAAGGATGGATTAGCAGTACTTAAAATGTTTTTACTTGCTGAGCTGAGTAGTGTTAGTTATAACTGAAAATGTTGTATACCTT